CACCAATTTACCCATTTCACAAAAGGTTTTCTGTTTCTCAATAACCTTTCTCTTCTCTCATTACTTCTGAGGGAAGGAAAAAATAAACCCCAACCTTTTCATCTATGGATCCATGTTGGTCTGCTGCACAAGACTTTTTAAACTTTTTACTTTGTACAAACTAAGGTTACCAGAAATCTGGCTGACTAAGGCACCTTTCTCAGTTCTACGATTCATAATCTTCAAAAGCTTTTGATAAAAGTAAAAGTTGATACTTTTCGGTTCAATTAAGGGGGATAGCCGTGTAATAGTAACATCGATTCGATACCTTGTTTAGAAAATTATGCATTCTATTACTATTACAATAACAAAAAATATGAGCCAAAGGAAGGGGGGTGCTTGAGACATCCCAGTTTACCACAATTTATTATACAGATCCCCTTAGCAATCAGGGTATTCAGCTGATGCCGCCTTCAAACATTCAGCTACACAAGCTGCAATTCAAGACCTTACAATCACTGTGTAAAATTTCAATCTTTCAATAATATTACACACAGTGGAGTCCGCATAAACCGAACACGGTTAATCCGAAAACAGTGGTAAAACCAAAAGAAACTAAAATCCTCCATTTTTTTCCATTTATTTGGTCGCTTTTAAGAACAAGTGGGCTAAACCAAATTTCGGGGGTTTCCAGAAATCTAGACCTACATCAAAAGTGAGCCTTTTGGTTATAGAGAAAACTCTCCTTGTCTTTCGAAGAAAATGAACAAGGGGCAAAAACTTTACCTTCGATTTTCTCAAAACAGCATTTTTCGGGATAGCCGAATTGTGCTTAAAAACGACCATTTGAGCAACCTCCCTAGACCAAAAACCAGGCTAAACCAAAGAAAATTCAGCCCTTTTCATTCGGTTTGAGCAAACTTCACTGTACTTGCAGACAAAACTTTTTGTGGCATTCACTCCCAAAGACTGAGAGGTCAGGGGGAAATAAACTAGGAGCTTCCTGCTGAAAGTTTAAATCACCCTAAAATAAAACTAAAAACATATTATCTTTACAGAGAATCATCAAATTCAAATCTACACAGACTACCCTGTGAAATGCAAAAACTAATGGAACCAAATAAGGACACCCTATAATCCTAAAGAATCAATTCTAGTTCTATCCCTCTTACTTCAATCTCCCTTTTGCAACGTCAATTATATAATTTGCAACTTTTTCAAACCCAGAATTCTCTCAAGTTTTGGAATTCACTTTTGCCCAAGCAACAATCGCGTTTCTCACAAGTTTTTCAAACGCTTTTTTTTTTAGCTCCAGCGATACCAACAACTCTCTCAGGTCTTTCAAACAAGCAGTATTCACAACTCTCACCTTGGTAAAATGCTTTATTTCTACCCAAGTAGGATCGACAATATTTTTCTCACACACAATGCCTGAGCAGAATAGGAGAAATCAACAAGTTTGTGAATGCCCATTTGCCTTACAGTATACATAATTCTCATACATTTTCCCAAACACGTTTTTGTGAAAGCAAACGATCTAACTCACAAGAATTTTTTCACGGATTTTCACAGGATTCTCCCCAGTTACTCAACAAACACCCAAGCAGTATCTATAATTGTTACAAATTCTCTCATACAGAGTAATGTCCAAGCAGCAGGCAGCAGAGTCAACAATCATGAGTTTTTCAAACAAGCTTTGGCTCTGGCAGTCAGTTTCCTGACCCTGCCGCGGCTGCTCACATTTTGAGAGTGATCATCCATGTCATCGTCACATTCCGAATCTTTGTCTGAGCTATTGTCACTCCTGTCCTCACCCTCATCTCCTCTGTCCTCCTCGTCCGTGTCATCTTCAAGATATGTTACCCTCTGACGACCCCTGTTGCGAGTCTGAACCTTAGGGCCTCTCTTTTTTCCTTGAGGGCCCTTTTTCTTGCTTGTCTCCGATGCTTTCACATCGAAATTTTGCTTAGGACTTGATTTAGGAACACTTCTTAATCTAACACGTTTTCTTGGTACAGCAGTATCACTGTCAGAATCTTCTGAATGACTTATTTTCCTAATCCGCCGACGATTTTTCTTTGTGAATGTCTTGCTTTCAGGCTTTGATGACTCATTCTGAAGGCTTTGTGTGATAAGTTCGTCTTCTGAATCCTCATCGATTACAGTGGAAGATGACTCCTCCTCAGACTCCTCTTTGTTCGTCTCCCCATCTTCCTCCTCCTCTTCACCAATCTCAACATCTTGATCCTTCCCACTGTCTTGATCCTCAGAGTCTCCATCATTGTAATATTTCCTCTGAAGGCGAGCAGACCGTGCTGATCTCTTCAGGCTGTTGGCAGGACTCACTTTTTCCTCCTCTTCCTCAGAGTCAATGGCGTGGTCCCTGGATCGTGCTCCTCTAGCTTTTCTGTGGGACGGAATGTCTTCAGAGCGACTGGATTTACTTCGATGAGCATTGCTACCCTTTTTGAGAGGAGCCTTTGAGCGAGATATGGATTTTCTAGATAAAGATTTCGTAGGCTGTGGGCGTGCAAGAGTGTCACTGTCCTCATCACTGGAGTTTTTCTCTCCGGAGTCCTGTAGACGAGAAAGTGCTTCTTTCTTTATGGCAAAGTTTGGCACATCCTCATCATCATCCTGTTCATTTCCATCAGAGGTGTAAAAAATGTTGGATTTGAGGAACCGACCGCTGGCAGCCCGAGCTGGTAAAGGTTTTGAAGATTTCTCCTTTCCTCTCTTGAAAAACTTGCCTGTGGGAACAAGAACAGAAATAGCATGAGAGCCACTTTAGGTTTCATTTAATGATAAACATCATATAGTGTTGAGAAAGAGCAAGACAGACAGAAACATGAGAGGGAGAGAAAAGTACTAGGACCTACCAGTGGTGCCCTCCAAACATATTAAGATTTACAATAATAAAGTTTCAAGTTGTTCAGAAATGAAGAAGGCAGACCTGCCTAGTTGAGACCTTAAAAACTGATAATGAAATGGCCAAAGAATTGTAATTTGGCTTTAAAATTAGTAATAGTATAATTTTCCTTCAATGAGGTAGGGGCCTACTAAAAAAATAATGACCAGCAGAGGCGGCTCGTCTAAAAACTGGGCGTGCACAATTAAGCTATCGCAGGCTGAAGATTGTCCAGGGCATAGTAAATGAAATGGTGTATAATTTTAGGATCTTTGGGTTGGTGAGGGAGGACCTCGTGTTTTTATTTTCATTCTTTTTACTTGTCGCTTTGATTCATAGAACTTAAAATCTGTTTGTTAGCGAAACATCAAATTCGTTCATAAAGAATGAGAACTGAACACTCCAGTAATAACTTTCACCATTCCCCTACAAAACTATTCAAAGGCACAACCCACAGGGCGGTCTGTCACGTTCACCTCCCTCAGGTTCACAGTCACAGAGTCACTTAAAATAGCTGCAAGAAGATGAACCAATCATAATTCACTTGAGCCCTCCCCTGGATTGCTCCGACGATCACATACTTTTGGCATTGAATAGCGTACAGTCTATCGCGTTTATTTTTAGACTGCCTACTGTGGGCTATGTTTCGACACTATTCTGCAGGAGCACATTTGAGATGTGCCGGCTTATTAATATTAATGTACCGCCAAACTCGCTAGGAGTGTCGTCATCGCTTGGGTTATCCCAAAGACCGATTTATAGGTCAGGTTACCAGTGTTGAATATCCTACTGTGTTTAGTTAAAGCCTGTGGACTTTGGCATGGCATAGTAGATGTTTCACGGCGCTATAGACACAGAAATGATAGTTACGGCGCAAGCTAGGACCTTGTTTTGATATTATATTTGGCTAGTGTTTGTTTCTTGCTTCTTTTATTTTATGTGTGTGGGTGCTTTACGAAATAGAATATTTACAAAATTTGGGCGGCACTGCACGACCGTGCTCTATGGACGAACCGCGCCTGATGACCAGGGTGTCCAATGGAAAAGTCTGTTCCGCACAGCGTGCGAAAATGCATGATGAACACCAGCCACAGAATTCACAATGCAGGGCCACTCATCAGTATATATATGCCTGCTTAAAAGTTTGAGACCCACTAGTTTTGGGTTTCTTTTTAAGGAGGCTCAGCCATTTTCACAACTAAATCTAGATCTATATTTAGTAATCCGTAGAACGTAAAATCAATTAGATCTAAGCGTTACCGAAAGACAGAATGGCGTTTCTCGCGGGGAAAACGGAAGGAATTCTGAATTCATTGTGTAATAATGATGTGCAGTTCGAAAAAAAAAAAAATACTGCCGTTGTATTCGAAATGTAGAATAAAGACGTACTGTGGAAACTTTGCGCCCGATACCACAAGTTGTATAAAGAACAAACGATACTAAACAGTAATCGGTCTATTAGATACTTGAGTTTAACGAATACTCACGATTGTTTAAGAATTATTTCTGTGCGATCTATTTGTTGAATAAATCATTCAATAAATTGACTTGTTTTTCGTAATTTTCAGAGCACATTCGTATTTTAGTAATGAGGTCAAATTTCTGGCATATTTTCGTAATATTACGAAACATTCTTAAATATAGGCAGATCTGGAAGAAGGTGAAAAAATGAAACAAACAACACACACATTTATATACATACATAGATATATATAAATAGACAAACAGACAGACAGAAAGAGATACCAGAACCTATTGGAATATTCCACACATTGATCAGAGTAAATAAAACAAAAGACAACTTCTGGAAAGAAGCTCATCAATGAAATGAGCCCTTTGCCTAGGGAATTTAGAACAAAACAAAATCTTTAAGGGGAAGTGTGGGGAATAGAATTGACTTTAAATCTCTAACATTTTTACATCTGCTACTTCTCCGTAACCATCTAATACATAGATGAAGGCTGAAATATGAATAATAAAACCTAATAAAGTCACAAGTATTGAAGTAAAAAAAGAGGAACGAGGACACATGTGTGTCTATTGCCGATCAGAAAGAAGGGATCCAGACTAAAGTAGCTTGACCCCCTCCCGGCCACTGCAGGGGTGCGGCCAGTTCTCATAACTCGCATTCCAGTTGCGGTAAGGCTTTGAATAAACCACAAAAGCTTCCCTTGAGTCTTCCAATGCTTTCACTTTCATTTCCGGTCTTTCCCGCTGTTCCGACCCTCCCAGAAAACATCCCTTTGTGAAATATCCAGGTGAGTTTTTCATTAACTCTTATCACAACCTGAATATCATTATTTTGTCAACCAAGTGTGGTTTCTGTGTTTTAAAATGCATGTTTTTAAGCCTAACATTGTAAAAATATTACTCAAACGTAAACTTTCGGAGAAATGTCGATGGCCGCAGCCAGGGCAGGGTAATTTTTTATGCAGGCCCACAGGCGGTCGAATCGGCCGCACCGAGGACGGGTTTTACAGTAGAGGTCCTGGCCGCGGCCAGAGTCCAAAATGATAGAAAACCCTGGTCAAATCAAGGCTGAAGTCTTGAGATAAGAATCTAGACCTTGTTCTTGATAGAGGTAGGCTGTTTACAAAGCTTTTTGTCCACTTAATAAAGCTAGATCTAGATTTACTGGTAACAAAACAATACGATATTTTCAAGCATGGCACAGATCTCAGTGGCCTAGTGGTAAGGTGTCCTCAGGAATGGAAGACCCCGGGTTTAATTCGCAGCCAAGTCATACCTATGACTAAAAAAACTGGCAATCTAGATCTAGCAGCTGTCCCGCCTGGCGTAGACATTATGGGACTAGTGCTATGACGGGTTGGCCCGGTAAGTATACTGTGACTGGATGGGATAATAAGTTCTGTTACATTTCATATCCCAGTGTAACAGCACGTTAAATTGCCTTAATGACCTAGACTCTACTGGTTTTAATTAGAGACGTTAAACGCCAACTTAAAAAAACAACTCAAGTGAACACTAATCTATTTTAAAAAATGTATTTTCACAGGTCTCAAAATGAGTGGGAAACCGAAGGGGACAAAAGAAGCTTTTGACAATGTGTAACAAGCAGTCTGTGAAGGGATGGGAAGACGCAAAGAAAGATCCCTTCGTTCTTCCTACTTTGCAACGCAGGAGTAATGGCAGCAAGAGAAAGACATCGCTGGAAAAACTTCCATCGCTCATCAGTGGGCAAGAATTTATTGACTCTCTAATAAGCAAGGAGAGAAAGATCAAAAGGAAAGCAGAGATAGATGGAAATGAAAAAAGTGGATAGAGCCAAAATGGAAGAAGAGAAATGGAAGACTGGAAAAGAAGGAGAAAAACAGCGAGAGGAGCTAAAGAAGCAAAGTGGAGAAAGAAAATAGAAAGAGGATGCAAGAAGAGAGGAGACTGGCCAAGGAGAAGGGGATGGAGAATTAGAAGAAGCAAACGTTAGAAGCAAAAGAAAAGAAGTCCAAAGTGAAAGGAAAATAATCCAAGAAGAGGTTGAGCGATTCAGACTATGATCTGATACATGTGCATATTTCAATGAAAGTGAATATAATACTGTTTGATGAAGATGACCTGCAGTTGGAAGATTTCATGGAAGAAGAATGTTCGACTGAGGAATCCATGTTTGTTGAAGTGGGGGTTGTGGAAGGATATAAAAGTCCACAGAGATGACACATGGACAATGAAACGCTTGAACTTTATGAAGGATCAAGAGTCGGACCACAGACCGGAGAGAAATAGAAACAGTGTTGCTGTTGACAATGAAGACATAGGAAACAAGAAAAGTGGTTGAAGCAGAAGAAACAAAAAGAAAACATGCGTGAGAGTGACGGTGATGGGAACAAAAGACCAGTGGTTGGAGCAGAAAGAGAATGATATGCTGTGTGTGAGATGAATGAAGAAGAGGTGGAGGACTGCAACATGGTCGGAACTGGACACGAAAAGCAAGCATTGGCTGAAGCGGAAGGAAAGCCAGACACTGTGCACGAGAGTGGGGATTCACTTAGTCAGCATGACAATGGACATCGTACCTTGTGGCAGATGTTTACACAGAGATCGAGACCAGAGACGTGAGACTTGTCCGTTCTGCTCTTATCAAGAGTAGACATAGATCTTGATCTACCATCCTTGCAATTTTTTGCATAGATTTAGCTGTCATTGATTTCCATTTTGTTTGCACGCACTGATCAAAAGTAAATGGAATCTCATTTAAGTTGTATGTACCATTCTTTAATTTTGAAAGTCCCCGTTTGCATTGATTTCCATTTCGTTAGCATGCTCTGATCAAGAGTCTATTGAATCTCATTGTAGGCCTACCATATTTCAAATTGCACTTTATGTGTTTGTTATTGATTTCCTTCATTGTTTGTCATGTTTCCAAGTGTTTGAAGCTTATTTAAGACCTGGCCGCATAACGGGCATGGATTCGGCCGCACCTAGGTCAAGTGGCCGCAAGTGTGGCTCGTCGTTGGCCGCACCCAGAGCTGCTGGCCGCCAAATGGTACGCCGAAGTTGGGCAGAAAACACCCACTGCACTCTTTACTTGAAGTCTTTAAATTCCTGGCCAGGTCAGGGCCCTTCCGGTGGCTTTTTTCTCCACGAAAATCAAGTTGGAAATCTCTTAGTGCAGAAGCAGACAACAGTGCTAGCTGGGGGGGAATGTTCGCTCGTGGCCGCAAGTGGTCAAGTTACTCTATCTACATATATTTCGTCGGCAAGCTGTTCAAATGTTTTGAGTTTATAAAGCAAAAATTGTTCAGAAGAGAGAAAAGATTCGTTTAATTCTTTTAAATATTGAATCTAATTTATGAATCTTTTCTTGTCCTTTTAGAATTTAAATTTTGATAAAATGTTTCTTGAGAAACAAGCAACTGAAGAAGAGGAGGAAACAACTGCAATTTTTTTAAATTTTAATTTTTGGGTTCAATACATTTGAATAGCTGGCTGACGATATGTATTTTTCGCTTCCAAATAAAGGCATGAATGAAAATCTGATTCTTTTTTTAATAACTAAAGCAGAGTGATTATCTAGATTACCTTTTGTTTTCGACGGGGAACCTTCCAATCCATGATTCTTTTTGAATTGTTTTGACGGCTCGTAGTCGCCATCGCTGTCTTCACTCTCCTCCTCACCATACTCCACCCTTTTGGCAGCCGCTGATCCTTTCCCCCCTCTGCCGTTGTGCCGCTCCTCATAGACCTCCGTGCCCCCACTGTCGTCTTCCTCGCTCACGTGCTTGTTATCTTCCACAATGGTAGCATCCGAGTCATCACCACTGTCAGCCTTAAGAGAGCCTAGAAAGGACATACAGCAACGTGCACATGTCTCAGCTGGTACAGATGACTCAAGAATCAACTTTTATAGTACTAACTGAATGATGAGCAGGCTTTGTAAAAGTTAATTGTGAATTTGGAACCCCTCCAAACATCTTTCGCATAAATATATATATATGGTTGCTTTTAAGCACAAGGGGGCTATCCCGAAAAACCTGTTTTAAGAAAATCGAAGGTAAAGTTTTTGCCCCTTGTTCAGTTTCTTTAAAAGACAAGGATAGTTTTCTCTATAACCAAACAAATATACACACAAATGAAACCAAACTTCTCCTATATGGAGGGCAATGCCTACTTTTGGTGTAGGTCAAAATTTCTGGAAACCCCCGAAATCTGGGTTAGCCCGCTTGTCCTTAAAAGCGACCATATATGACACCACGGTGACCCAAATGTGGCCCTACAGCTGTCCTTACTGAATCAAACATGTTCCAAATGAAGGCCGTATGTTTAGTTTTACTGCAACCTAAAAACACAACAGACCATTTTTTAAACAAAAGCTCTTAATCAGTCAAGTGGTCCAGACAGTTAGCGTCTACATGTCTCTACTTGTATATACCAGGTAAGGTCATAACTCCAGTCAGGTCTTCTGCTATCTCTGCTCTTCCTTTGCACATCTCGGAACTTACAGGACCCACCACACTAGAAAACACATGTTTTATGTGTTAACTAGGATTTCTGATCGTTTCCTTAAAATACTATTTTATCTTTGCAATAGTGGAGTGGAACAACTGTCATAACTAATCAATACCATGATGACATTTCAGTGTTACACCACAACAATAGTAAAACTTTAAAAAAAAGAAAAGGAAATAGGAGTTGACCCAAAGATCCAACACTATTTTGTTGTTGTAGCTTAAAACCCTTTGACTTCAATATATTATTTATATATATGCACTAGCTACAAAAAGTACCTGTTCCAAAACCATTGGTGAGTGGAGCTTTACTCCGATCTGGGTTACCAGCCTGTGATGAGGACGGCTGACTAGCATCTATCACACTCGCGACAGGGACGTTCCAGTCAGAAGACGGCTGAGGAGGCGCAGCTGACGATTTGGACCTAGCAAAAGACACAAGGAAAAGGAATTATGGACGCAGGCACAACCAGGCTGCAGGTAAGGCATGAGACTTAATTTTAGTTTTAGTAGAGGTTTTACGGCGCTTGCAACTTCATGAGGTCAAATGAGTACCAGAAGATTAGAGGTGTTACAAGAGAGTAACAAACATAAAAAAGGGGGCTCTCGTGGCCTAGAGGTCAAGGGGTTGGCCTCTCATTCAAAAGGTCCTGGGTTCGAATCCGAGTAGCGACCGAAAAATTTTCTTCTCTAAATTTGTCTCCTTTCACCTCATTTCCTGCTCTCCAGCAATATTCTGTCGTCTGCTTTCATCTCCTCCTTCTGCCCCCACCCCCTCTGCCCCTTCCTCTGGGCTCCTGATTCTTTCTGCAGCCTTTCTACTGCTACTCCTTCGCTTCTTCTTACTGCTGTCTTTCAGCCACACCCCTGATCTTCTGGTAGGAAAGATCTACACCTAGCCTTCTCAGACAAGGGCGAAAAATCTCGGAGGGCCCCTGTGCAAGTTGCGCATGTTAAAGATCCCTTGGTGGTCTAAAATCGATAAGAGTAGGCTTCGGCCGCCACCCGAGCAAAATTCAAAATTTCCTACCAACTGAAAATATTAGGTGTGTCCCGCGCGCTCATATGACCTTATGCAGTTGCAAGCGCAGTAAAACACTTTACAAAAACAAACAAACAAAAACATAAAAAAGAAGAATGGGAGATAAGGACGATAGATGTTTGATAGGAAAGAAGGAGCAAACCACACCAGAGCACAAGCCCACCACCCACTGGCGTGAGACTAAAGGCTTACAACCTTGATCTTTTATGAAAGCAGAGACATTATTTGAAGCCTTAGTTTTTTTAAACTAAACTCTTTCAATCAACAATCAGTGTGCGTGTGTGCACATGTGTGTGTGTGTGTGTGTGTGTGTGTATGAATGTGTGAGTGTAGGAACAGGACATCAACAAAGAACTTATGGCACATTAAACTGTGGTTTCAAAACTTGTCTTGCTCAGCTTTCGCAGATTAATATCATCTTTGTTTTGTAGAAATCAAATTAATTACCATTAAAGGACAGCGATATTTCAGGGGACAATGCAACAACCATTCAGAATCTGCCTTTCTGTCAGAAGATTGCTTACTCAGACCCATCTTCTGATAAATGAATCAGGCCAAACACACATTTAGAGTTGTTTCTTTTTAAACTAGACAGAACTATGAACCCCACATGCATGTGCTCTGTATTAAACAATCCATGACTACAAATAAAAAACAATATCTGTCCAAAACAGGGGACCATATTTTGTTCTGCAGCAAAAGTTGCATTCATAAAGGTTCTTACACTTTTCTGCCATTGGAATTGAAAGCGCATTATGTAATAAATTAATAAAACCATTGTTTTGTCACCAACTGGGAAAAAAACAACCCTACAGCCTTTGAAGCTATAAGTTCTGTTCAAATTGTCAGATCTCAATAATGTTTGTATGTATTCATTGAGTACAGAGACATCAATATCCAACTGAGGTAGAAAGATGAGGGCATCTTCACTGAAACTGAACCAAAGAAATACAGTTGACTCCACTTGTGTTGGAGACCCAAGTCGCTTGGGTTAATCTTTACTTCAGTTGATCTGTCTCTTTCACACAAGCACCTCTTCTTTACCTTTAAGTCAAATGGTTATATTGGGTTCAACTCAAACATAAACACGCTTGAGTTGAAGTACTTTTATTTTACCACTTTTGCAAGTATGCAAGGGCTGAATTGATTTCTGGCCTGTGTAACATCAGATAGGTCAGATGTTTCACAGCAATATTTTGACAAGAGTGATAATTCATTAAAAAATTGAGACTTTTTTTGTGTCTGGGTAAGTGTTTTACTGCCTTCGCAACTGCATAAGGTCATATGAGAGTGCGGAAAAATAACAACCATACATTGTACATGTAGACCGATGAAGTAGGCCTTCATAATGCTACAACAAAATGATGAGGTGGAGGTGCGTAGCATCATGACACAATTGCCAGTGCTGCTCCTCCACTCACAGCCAAAGGGCACGGCACTCCGCAAGACTGAGTAATACTTAGTCTCTTTTGCAGTGTCATTTGAAATTAATTGGACAGTCTCTCTTGAAAGCAGTGCCATTTAAATTTGATTAGATAGGCCTACAGCGCAGCATCAGCATTCAGCATTAGAACTACTCAAACAAACCAAATGTGGTTTTGCACCCTCCACCCCATCCTACAATAATGCTTTTCAATCCGCATTTTGATTTGAGTTTCTCCACTACCGGTACCCTTAAAAAAAGATGGCTGGAAGAAAATGTGTCACACTTTCAATCAAGAGAATCAACAGAGAGTACTAAAATTGAATGAGAACAGGAGAGAGATTTTTGTTACATCCCTTAATTTTTGTGACCTTGACGGTAAGTTGAAAGCAGCATAAATGAGTTGATCTTTTCACTCCATCGATGAAAACTCATCCGCAGTCGATTGTATTCAATTTTACCAAGATTCACATCAATTTTTCATTCAAATAGCATTTTTGAGTCTTTCGAAGAGTGTTTCATTCCTTGAACTCCCCATCCCCTGAAACATATTAGTCCCCCTTTTTCCACTGTTAGAGGGCACAAACCTGTGGCGGCTGTTAAGTCTCTGTACTCTGCCCGAAGCCCTTAGTGCTGACTTCCACCTTGAGATGATGTGACTGATCTGGTCCTCAAACAGGGCTGACAACCGTAGGGTCATGGAGTAAATCTGAGAAAACAGCAAAAGAACAAAGAGTTTTGACTCGGTTTTCACTGCATGATCAACATTCTTAGGTTGTATATATTCTCTCAAAATTAAATGATCAAAAATGTTTCACACACCTCCCCCCGACAAAATCTAAATAATAAAGGAGGCAGGCTGAGCTTTGACCTAGATCAGGGGTGTCAAACCCCATCGCTCACGGGGCAAAACCCAAATTACACTTTGGCCTGCTAGACTGGATAAAAACCCATTGTGCAGTGAAAAACTAAGGCTTTTTTTTAACAATAAGTAAAACACTCGACAAAATTTAAAACAACAAATCAAGGGAAACCAATTTTTGCCCATATGCCAATTTGTGGCAGCTGGAAGTCTGGTATTTTTTCTTGGCGACAAGTTTATGTTTGGAATAAGGTTCTGTGTTACAGACATTTTAAGGATGAGTTAACTAAAATTCTCGTACAGGCCAGACCTTACTGTTTGCCAGGCCAGATGCGGCCCACGAGCCTTGAGTTTGACACCTGTGACCTTGATTATTAGGGCCATTTTGGGGTATGTGGGATTTCCAGGGGTACAACAAATAAAGCAGGATATAGCTGGACATAATACTTGATAGCCTACTTCATTTTTCACACACAAGAACTGATCAATGTGTCTCTTATGCGCAGGGCCAAAATCCTAACCATTACTCAACAGATGCTAAAAGTTTGAGTTTTCATGGCACTAGTGACACTACTGGTACATGCACTGGGTTGTGTAGTGCCTAAAGAAGCAGATAAACAGCAATGGTGAACAAAAAAAGAAGAAAAGAAGGACTGGACTAAAGCTAAATAGGGAATAAATTTGACAAGACCACCACAAACCTTATCAAAGGAAAATAGTCAGCATAATTTCACTAGCCTGATAGCACAATTAGAGAAAAAAAGGTCTCCCAAATCAGAACCCCAACCAGGGTACTTGTCATTTTTCAAATAAAACTAAGACAGAAATAACAAAACAAAACAAAACTATTTTGTACTTTGCCACTTGATGCCCTTTTATTAGAATAACGGCTTCCCTATTAACCTCTAGTAATTGATTCGGGAGACTACGGGATGGTGCCGACAAAATACATTTCCTTTACTCACCCTAGACCTCTTATTGGTGTTGTAGAGCTTTGAGTTGGTAAAGATGAGGCGCATGTCTTTGCTCATGTCCACGGGGTTGCCATAGTGACCAGTTGCCAGCTTTGTGTGTACCGTGGTAAGGTCCATGGGGTTGCTCACAATGTCTTCATAGTCCTGAGATTTGAGGGCAGAGAATACAGTATATGAACATGTCTTTACATTTCTGAGATATCAGTACTGAGAATACAGTCAGTCTATGAACAGTCTGTAGTGTATGAGCATTAGTAAGTATAACAGCACTTTTGACAATTATAACTAATGCCAGAAAGGAAGCAAAAAGAGAATAAATAATACTGAAAATAAGATGTAAAGGCAGACTTGTCAAACACTCCATGACCAAAAATAGGAGGGTTTTTTGGGGAACACAAATTGGGAGTCTCAAGAACCTCAAAGCATTAAGATTGCGTACTGAACCGATCATGGCAAATTAACGTGTGTAGCGAATACAAGCACATAAATGAAAAGAGAAAAATAGCGTTTTCATATAACTTATACTTAGTCTCATACGCCCTGACAGAAATACAATTCAAGACAAAAAAATTGGATTTTACGCTAATCCCATAGAGGTTCTACGAAGGAAAAAAAAATAGGAGAGCTCCGATTTCCTGTAAATGAAACTACCCTCAAACTATGAATACAAGAAATGTGCAAACAATTGTAAAAGGAAATAAAGAAATGAAAATATTTTCAGACCAAGAAAGGATTAGTTTACTGGTGTATAAATTTTTTTTTTAATAGATAAAAATATCAGTTATATTATAGCATAACTCACAAGGTACTGAGCAGGATCTACAGGCACTCGGAAAGGTTCCGAGTCCTCACAGTCAAACAGCATGGCCAAAAGAGATTCGCTCTGCTCCAGCCAGGCATCGGGGTTGGCTTTAACTTTGGACTTCGACTTTCTCCGTTTCTTCCATTGGCCGTCTGGTGTCTGAGCAAAATAAAGCACCAACTGCAATTAGGGCAGCCCCTCTGGTGTCTGTAGATGACATTCATGCTCCCTCCTATAACTGGTTATTTCACTTCGGAAGTATTTACGAGCCAGTGAAAAAACCAGCAACATTGCGCGAATACCAGTACCCCCCCCCCAAATTTTTATAGGTCTCTCCATACTGATAAGTCAGATGAGCACTGCAAACTACTTTGAGATCTGCATATGATACTTGTGAAATTCTTTATCCCAACAAGTCTTTGTCAATTCAAACACTCATTTGAAACTTACTTAACCAGTAAAAATAAATCACCTGTACCATGAGAAGTTTCAGAAACTCATTGATATGAATGCCAAATGTGTAATGCACAATTTGTCATGACAGACTACCATCGACTTTCAGAATTTTGTAAACTTCAGGGGGGGAAAAAATCCAGCTGACACTATGAGCGTACATCTACGCCAATGGGTCATTGAGCAAAGAAAACTACAGCTGCTGATCTGTTCGAGCCATTGATTGGTCAGGAAATGTGACGGTGATTAAATGTAACAATCTTGACTCAAAAGACAAAAGAAAATTACAGATGTGTATCGATTTCCAGACCTGCTGTGGTCACATTCAGACATAACTTCCAGTGACAACCCTATTCTTCTGCTCTTGTAAAAAATTCTTCAAGTGTCACTTTCAACTGACAAAGTTATCCCACTCCATCAGTTACTATTCATGCACTGCCATCAGTTCCTTTGAATTGCAGTCAGTTCATGCAGTCCAAATACATTGCATCTACCAATGATTCCAATAATGTGAAATGGGTCTGAAAAAAAAGGGGGCAACCTAACGGGGTAAAAAATGTGTTACCCTTTTCCGAGAAGTTGCTGAGCTGTGCTGGCTGTCCTCTTCACTGGAGCAAGTCTTGATGCCTCCATGAGCCAACTCACTCAGGAGAGGCATAGGATCCTGACAGCCGTGATCCCTGGGAGAAAGGAAAAATATCAACACATGTTATAACCATCAGATTAAGTTTTAAGAGCCTGATAGAAAGGACGGAGCCATACTGCACGAAAAATATTTTATTCTTTTGTGAAAAAATTGTTGCGAGTATACAAATCTTGACCTTAAGCTTTCACCACCCGCTTCATGGGAAACTTTAAAAGGAGCCATTTCTACTTATTGTCGCTATTCCTACCATTAAGTTACTTCTTATACAAAGCTTCCAGGAATGCTGCTGATATTTTCAAGTACCCCAAAAACATTGTCATCCCCTGAAGTTAAGATACTACCAGACACTACCAAACATAAACAAGGATTACCACCGCCGAATAATTGATCATCATTCCCCCCGCCGCAGCAATGATACATATTAAAGTTGGACTATACTAAATGTGCTCTCTCAACGAACAGTCCAATTGTTTTACGTTCCTACAGTATAATTTTGCGCTCATTTAGAGGTAAAATGCTGCAACTCTCAGTGTGCAAATCAACCCAGGCTGTAATACAGAGATACGGAATAAAATATCTTATCTTTCCCAGTTGAGAGCCTAACAAGAATGCCACAGACGTCGGTAAAAAACAGTCTCGAAGTATGGCCTACTCACTTTATAAACCTGAGCAAGGCTTCAGTGAGAACATTGGCGTTTTTCACAATGGTGCTTCCTGACTGGTTGAAGATGCTGGCATTGGCAAAGATGAGTCGAATGTCCCACTGCAAGGCTGTCACTCTCCTGAGAAGCAAAAAAGAATAATCATCCACTGTCCTTTCCCAAAAATTTGTCGCCCACACATCATTTAAGCTTAAAAAAAACCCCACTTGATAAGGAATGGTACGGCTTTCAATGCCCCTTTCAATGCTGAAAGATTATCAACTCATTTCATAGATACTGGTTCTTCAAAGTAACAAAAACAAAAACTCCACACATGAACTTCACAGCTGAACTCATCCTGCTAAAGGCAACAACATAAAATGGGGCCTGGGAGGTTACAGATAATTGCCCTCTTACTTCAGAATATCCTGACCCCTAAAAGTAACAAATGTAACAACTGATACGATAAAGGTTAACAACCCGTACCTGTAGAAACCATTCTCTAGCCGAGCCTTAATTGTATTGAGATCCATTGGGTATGGCACAAAGCAGGCATAGGTAGGAAACTGCTGTAGATCCACGGGCGCTATGAAAGGTTCGGCAAATGAATGCTGCATCAGCATCTCCATGCCGGTGATGAGGCGAGCCGACTCCGCCTCTCGGCCAAGTGAGGTCCATTCTGTCTTCTTGGGCACGTAGAGCAGCTGTTTGTACTCCTCTGGAGTCACATCCACTCCACCTCCAACTTGACTCGGCTTTCCTGTAGATAAAAAAAGATTGTGAGGAAAATGAGTATAAGGTGCCATTTGTTGAAATAAAGAGAACCCCATTGACATGAAAATGACAGATTGCATTTATAGTATAGCGCTCCTTCCCATATAAGTAAACAAGAAAACCAGACCAACCACATAAAAAAGAACTGTCCCAACCACAAATCAATTTTACACACATTTCCTCTTTTACACCCTTTTTTCTCTTTCTATTTTCTATCCACTTTTACTTAACACTTACAGTACCGTTCGTAGTATGGGCTCACTACCGCTGGCGACTTTAGTCATCCACGCAACCAGGCACATTAAACATAATTAAACAACGAATGGACCCACTGCACTGAAATAAATACCAAAGAAAGTCATTCTATATGATAGCTGAACGGTTGATGATCCTCTCTGAATTTTTACAGTGTGTTTCTTGGGCAGCCAAGGTTTTTGTAATCAAAAAAAATTCTATCATGGCTTCAGCGTTCCAAACTGGTGGGGTACCCAAGGGTTTTTCGCTATATGAGCCTTCGGTACTGTAAGCAGGGGCTGTCTAGTTTAGTTTTAGTAAGAAGTCTTTTTTTATGGTAGAGGGTTTTACGGCGCTCGCAACTGCATAAGGTCATATGACCGCCAAGGGGTGGGTGTCAACAGAGAAGTCTTTACAGGGAATCAGAATTAGACTGCTCACCTCTCTTGCTTCAAAAGCACAAGGTCTGCTTCGACTACCAAGGCACCCCAAAAAAGCAGGTCACAAGGGAGTGACAAACATACAAAAGAAATAGAGGAAAATGACAATAGTGAGGATCAGGAAAGAAAAAGCAACAGTTCCCTGTTGTAGATCAGACACAGTTATGAGTGTGACATGAGTCAGCCCATTTACAATTCTACTATGCTTGAACAAGATATGTCCCCCCTTTGGGAATGGCCTAAAGACACTTCAGTCAGAGGCACTGCCCCGGGGGGTGTAAGAAGTCTGAAACACAAATAGGTCATATAAGTGCGAAACATTAGCGGTTTTACTAATAATATCATACACAGAAAAAGGGTTAGGAGGAGAGAATAAGAGGATGGATGTTTTGATATAGGAAAGAAGGAGCAAACCACACTAGAGCACCTGCCAACCACACATTAAACATAAAAGCATAGATCAGGTACATGAAATGAAATTTAAAAAAACAAAACTTCTTGGGTCAAATTTATACAAAATAGGTACTTTTTTCTATCCTGCTTTTACTTTTAAAAAGTTGTCACTGGCGGTGGTTTATGGCAATGCCATCATGATCACAAGTATACATCAGTAAAGTAATAAAGGGAACAGCCAGCAAGGTAAAATGCTGGGTAAAAGGTAACTTTTTAGTAAGCATTTTACGGCACTTGCAACACAATTAGGTTTATGGAGTATTTTTTCCTACTGTGCTTTATGGTGATGCCACAATGGCCAAAAGTATACATTGGTTACATAGAGGGAACATCCTAGTAGGTAAAACGCTGGGTGAAAGTAAACTTTAGCCCCCCATTCAGAACACCCACGGTCCCCGCTCACAGCAGGGCCATTTTTCAGTCACCATAACATCATGCATGAAAGATGTGGACATTTTAAACTTATTTTAAAGAATGAGGAGTTGAACTTTTCTTTTATAACAAATTGTTGCTGTTGAGTGCTATTTATTGGAAATCTGCACAATGACTGCAACAGTTCACAAGCACATAGACAAGGACAAAAGGAACATTGAAAGAGAATTAAACAGAGCAAGCCACACCAGAACAACACCCCACCCCCCCTTCCCCATCCCATCATATCAGAGAAAGAAAGTTGCAAGGAACCTTCATCAGACCAGCGTTGGCAGAAGACAGTGTACAGTCTGGGATACTGACAACCACAGCAACAACTCCAAACATTGAAATATGACAGAAAAACTAGGCCCCGGTGAACTGTCAATACAGGCTGCCTTCCAACTTACGTTTCTGATCAACAGGCTCCATGTCCCAGGGGCTTAGCTTCTCATATTCGCCGTTGTCCCAGCTTTGAGAAAGGACAAAAAGAAATTAGCGTAATTATTACATTGCAGTATCACAGATGAGGAACATAGATTTTACTTTGTAAACATTAACAAGCTGCTTAGTTTTTGTAAGAGTTTTATAACACTTGCAACAAAAATAGTTCACATAATTTAAAGTGCAGAAGATTGTTACTCGAGAGTAAAATACAACAAAAAAAGGAGAGATAAGAACGATAGACGTTTGACAGGAAAGAAGGGGAAAACCACACCTGCCAACCACTCACTTTGCAAACTGTATAAATTAACTTTAATTTGCAACAGAACCTTAATGATCAGCTAAAAAAAAGTTGACCCAAGAGTCAAATTCCAAAATGACTTCTATACTAAGATAGAATATAGGGAACTCAAATCAGAAATGGTGTTCAAAGTGATCTGGAAAACCCAGTGACAAATTTTTCTGGCTCTTGTCAATTTTTGGACATATGGAGCAACTGGTACCAAACCCCTGAGATCAAATAAGAGATTACGAAAAGTAGACATGAGCAAAAAACTTACTGCACATTGAAGCACTGGTACAGACTGTCTGGGAAGTCCAGATCCAGAGGCTCTTGTGATCGGATGACGCCTATCCACCACTGGTCATCAATCATCGATCGAAACTTCGTACCTGACCAACAGAAGATGTTAGCTTCAGCTTTGATGTTACCAAATATTTCTTTTTACGTCATAAGAGAGTACACAGAAGAACATTTGTCTCCTCCATTATTCAATGTTGTTATGTTGTTATCGATCCAGCCATTATTCAATCAATTTTGCATTATTTTTCTTTCAGGGACAACCATTTGTCCATCTCTTCCGTTATTCATGCAAATCCTTATATCATTGAAAAACAACTTTATTAACACATGTGAAGGTCTAAACATAGAAAAGACGTACATACTGTTAAAAAGTTGTGAACACTCTACACACCACTACATTCTTCCCTCCCCCTGTCCAAGACAATCCCCTATATAGACAACCACTTCCAACTTCATGCCTTGTGTATTTTCTATATTTTCATGACACTGTCCAAGAGGAACACCAGTCTCCTCGACAAATGGGCGATCATCTTGGACAAATTTGACTCTACTTATATATATATATATATACATTATATATATATATATATACATACACATCTCTTTCTTTATATACCTAGCTCTCTACATAAATACAGTCCAACCTGATCTAACAAAACACCTGTCAAAATAATCACTTCTCACTTCCCCCTTGCATTTCTTGTATATGTGAGGCAGCGTGGTGAAATCAGGCTCTCGTCAAAATAATCAAAATAAAGAAACTTGCATTTTTCCGCAGGTTTGTGAATTTTTATTAAATTTTTGTTTTTTGGCTCAACACCTTTCATGCCCATTAAAAAACTCATTTCTGTGTGGATTTTTCAGAAAAACATTGATTAAAGACACAGAAAATGTAAATTTTCAGTTACAACGGACTCTTAAGCTAAGGAAATAACTAAGCTTTAGCGGCCATTTTCTCACCAATTTTACCTCTGAAAACAGGTGACCCCCACCTCCTTCTTTCGTACATATCTCGACTTGCATTCAAGATAAATGGATACTTTTTTCATCCAAATAAAGCCAAGTGAACAAGCTTTAAGATGATAGCAATAACTCTACATGCCCAAAAATTGACGAGAGCCTGATTCCACCACGCTGCCTCACATATCGTTATGACACTGCCAAAGCACGCCCACTTTTCTCCTTGACAGTAAGTGGTCATCTTAGACAGGTCCGATTGTATAAGTCCATATAAGTAGAACCTAACCAAGATGACCACTTATTGTGGAGGATAAAAGTGGTCATCTTAGACAGGTGGTCCCCTTCTTGGACAGTGTCGTTATAATACAGAAAAGATGTGAGAGGAGAAGCGGTCAGTCGTACAGGTGATTCTTTTGAACAGGTAGTCATTAGATTAAGTTGTGCTGTTTTGACTAAAGACAGTCGCTGAGATTCTTTTTGACTACTCATGTAACATCTGCTGCAGTAACACATTTTCTCTGGAAGGGGGAGAAAACAAAAACATACCTGGCTTCCAGCCACGTTCCACTGATATGTCATAGTGTTGCTTCAGGACCAGAAAGTCAATAACATCCGGCATATCATGGTACCTGTGAAAATGATATAAAATGAAAATTTAGGAAACTGGCTAAAAGTAAAATATAACAACCCAACATCCCCCCCCCCCCCTTCCGAACTGCTTTGGGTAGGTGATATGTCTTTCAGGAATAGCAAACAGTGGTCTGTGTTCATAGTGATGTGTTAAGACATAGAAATGTATACTATACTTTTTCCTAGATAAGTCTACAATGAAGTTTGAGGGGACTGAAATGATTCTGTAGCATGCCAATACAACCATCTATGCTTCACCAACACAGTATCAAAAGAAGGTTAATTCACTTGAGCCCGAGTTATTTTTCACCCAAAAATCTATCACATGCTGCAGCGAGAGCAAAATAGTGCACTGGGATTGTTGGGTTTAAAGGAGTACAAAGCTACAATATTTTCTTTGACAGATGAGTTTAGACAAAAGTCTAATTGAATTCTCAACCAGAAAACGGTAGAACACGTAGGCTCCAAGCTATATGAAGGAGGAGAGGGGCTAACTGCAGACAATGGAAGACATTAAATGAAAAGGGGAAAAGAAGAAAAGCTTTCTGCTGCTCTGCAGAAAGTTATCATCATTCAACTTACTTAATGGTGAAGCTCTTGCCAGTCAGCTTGCCTGTGTTAGTGTCAATGAAGCCCAGCTTCAGGCAGCAGAGGCGTGTTGGCTTCAACAGCCACTTGATGCCCACAATCTTTACAAGTTCCTGGGCCTGTTAGATATCCAACATACTATGAATAGTGATAAAACAAACTATAAAAAACGCAGCGATAGTTCACAATCAAGTTGGTGTTCAGATGCAATTGTCTCTATGTATTCTTTTTTCATAGCCATTACCATTGCCCTTTCTTTCCGTGTACTAAATAAATAACATTGCCATGCCAATAGGATTCAATGTCAACATGAAGGTGAATAAGATAAACAGTGTTGTATAGAATTAAAACATTATAATATACAGTAATATAGGTGATAAAAGCTTTCACTTCTCAGTAGGCCTACCAAAAAAAAAAATGTAATAAGTTTGAAGACTTGCTCTGCTAAAAGTGACACAGAAAAAAAGCATACGAAGTACACTACATCAGAACACCAAGCATCTAACTGCTTAATGAGCACGAAAAGAGCTATTTCAAACCCAAACTTAAAACATGAAAAAAGGACATACATTGAAAGTCGTAACACAAACACACACAAATAACAAGTCAGAGATCCCGCTACCCTGGACAATACTGACCCTCAGCTGGGGAATCTTATGCCATGGCTGGTTGCGAGTCAGGTCTACAGGGTACACATCCTTCCTGACCACAGCTTGAAGATACTGTTCATGACCTTGCCGAAAGTAGATCACCTCATCCCCCATTTGCGGGACAAATGGTGCTTTGCGGGGAATGACAGTTGTAATCCACTCAGGAGGTCGCATTCTCTCATCCAGCTCTTTGATTGGTGGAATGTTTGCCGCTAGGTCAGGCTTTCTTGTCTTGGTCTGCAAATAACATGACAACAGAAATGTCAACTTCCGTCATATACGTGAGGCTCCACCTGATGTACCACTGTCCTTATAAAACATTCATGCATCACTATCCTTATAACAAAACCGAAGTACCATTGTCCTTACAAAATGGCTAATCTTTTTTAAACAGTCGATCCTTATAAAAAAGTCATGTACCTCTGTCCTTCTTATAAAGCAGTCAATATAAATAGTCTACCACTACCCTTTGACAAAACAGTTTTAAAAAATTAAGTAGCCTACCTTACAAGCGCAGAAACAAGTGAAACTGGATAAGTTTAAAATGGAAAACATTTTAAGTGACAGTATCAAAGTGTACAGTGGGGATGAGACATCTTAGATTCTAAGACAGATATCCAGTACCAAAGTATCACCACGGGGAGAACAGTAAAGACTGGGTTCGGCATACCATGAACACTGTGCCCTGTCGGAGAGGTAGCAAAAATTTCTGGAGAATATGCAACTACATAATAAATTTTGGTGGGGTGACTTGGGAACAATCAGATCTGCACAATGACTTTAGAGTATCTAAAATAAAATACAAGCCAAGTTGATGGAAATTCCATTTTGAGCCACTTTCTCGGTAGACTATATTCTCTACAATAGCACATATCTCAGTCTCATCATCATCATGGACCAAATAATTTTCCCTTTTCTTGTTTTGTTTGTCTTGAAGCATAGCAGTTACAAAAGTATTCACACATTTTTTACATAACATACAAATATCAGCATCAAATCAGGACATGCGACCGAAACAAAAAAGGAAAAAGAAGAAGAAGAAAAAAACTCCCATTCATTTAACACTTACTTTTGAAGCCTTCTGTTTTTGTTTGCTTGCCGTCTTCTTCTTGACAGTTTTCTGCCTGAGATCTCTCCTTCCTATTGATGTGCCAGGTTTCTCGCTGGAGCTGTCAGCCATTTCCTCATCGCTGCTTCCATCCTCATCGTCGTCATCATCTGAACTAGAATCCTGCACCTCTGTGTCCTCATCGGCTTCCTCTGGGATGTCCCCGTCATCAGATGATGACAAACGTCGACGTTTCACCTTGCGTTTTGACCGCCGTTTCGGCGGCTCCAAGTTGCTGCTGCCTTGATCTCCCACCCAGTCCGAGTAGTCATCACTGCTATTACTGGGGACAAAATGAAAAGAATGTTTGGAATTTGAAATGGACGAAAAGACACCTTTTTCAAACTTGTTTTGTTTTAGTTAGAGTTTTACAGCACTTGCAAAAAAATTAGGTTATATAAGTGCCGAAGAATAGAGGTGTTACAAAAGAGTAACTAAGACAAAAAAAGGAGAGATTGGGACAATAGATGTTTGACAGGAAAAACGGAGCTTTGTCAACTGTCAATTTTTTAAAATCAAACTTTGTCCCTTGAATTTAGTCTTTGTGTTGACCTAATACTCTGAAAGACACAGACTAGGCTATATAATTACAAAAAAATTTGCATGGCAACCAAAAAAGTTTTAAAAACAGATTTAAAAAAAAAAATAACAACAAAGTTTTAAATCTCTTAGAGACAGAATATCTTGTTAATTTTGAATGAAATGTCTTTCTTGGGATCATGCACATTTTTAAAAAACCCATCCATCAGGAACGCTTTCCCAAACAATCCCAAATCCTAGTGTGACAACTGCACAGGCACCAAACCCGACAACTGATGCTACAAAGTAATTAGCATGCTTACTTGCTTTAAAGCTTCAATAAGGGATCATTTCAAGGTGCTTTTTGAGCAATGTCAGTGCAGACAGGCATGGTGACTTTCAGCCAGCCTTTTCTTTTAATTTTGTCTTCCAGACACCAGAAAACTCAAACCGTTACAGTAATTTTGAGTAAAGACTATGAGCAATTTGTTGTGTGGCTCAAAGTCTTCACTTGCTATTGATTAACTGTGTCAGCTTGAATGTTATGGTCACAGTAAACTCATTTGGAAACATGCTAAAAATAGCAAGTTGCTCGTGCCCAACCGGAACGAGACTACACTGAGTCAATACCCCCAAATCAGGGCTAAGAAAAAGAAAAACATCAAGAAAATCAATAGGATGAGAAGAATAAAACAGCCTAAAGATAATGAGTTAACAGACACACGCACATAACGTAAGCCAGTAGGACACACTTACCTGTCACTTGCCCACACGTCTAAATCTGAGCCTCCTCCTTCATCCTCCTGTGAAAAAAATTCATGTAACTAGAATTAACAGATGTCAAAAGTGATCTGTTAAGCTACTGGTTACAAGCTAAAGTTGCTGAAAATGAAACTGTGCAGTTGCCTCAAAAAGTGAAGTTCCTGTGCTGTTTGACTTTATCATGTTCTGTTGTAGAACTGGGCTTACTGTCTTACTTCGAGAGGCAATAAACAAGAAATGTCTCTACATGCTATGAATTGAAATCTTAACTTAAGGGACAATTTCACAGCTTCATTCTCAGTAGACTCAGCAACATACATCTTATTTTGTTATTGTTTCTTGTATTAAGAGTTTCAAGGAACTAGCCACACGATTAGATTATATAAATGCCGAAGATGAGAAGTGTTACAAAAGTGTAACAAACACATGAAAAAAAAGGAGGGATAAGGATGATAGAAATGTGATGGGAAAGGAGGAGCAAACCACACCAGAACACCTGCCAACCACACACATCCCATTTAGACAGAATGCAACACTGTGACGGTAAATTCACCCAATTTTACTTTTACAAACATGACTCCTTTTTAAGCACGAAGGGTAGGGAGAGGAAAGGTGTTGTGCACATGGCATGTCCACCAGTGTAAATGCGGAGGTTAGTAAAGGAGTCTGATAAGATTTTTAAAAATTTAACCACAAAGCTGCAGACACAGAAACGACACACACACTTGATACATTACGACATATAGGGAGAAGAAAAGAACTAATATCCGCCCTTAAGCATTTGACAACTGTTTCTCATGTCCGGATGAAAAGTGCAACAAAGATCTCCTGACATTACCTCCTCTTCTGTGTCATAGAGAGCCCTGGTGGTGAGTCTGTTTCTAGCCGTCTCCTCATTATCCGCCACCTCTCCCTCACTGTGAAATCCGAGAGCAGATTTCTTCTTGTTCTGACGTCTGCCTTTATTGGCAGTAGCAGACGTGGTTTTCTGTTCATTAAAAGAGGTAAAACAAAAAACCCAGAGTCAGAAACCACACTGTAACAAAAAGTAAAAGACTCCAGGTAACCACAAAACACACAGGGAAAAAAAGCTACAAAAGAATTAACAATCATTATTTTACAACGCTACTTTCAAAGATTATATAACATATTTACCACTCATTTGATTTACAAAAAGCTGAATAAACTGTTTGGTTCATGCCCAATTTTTTATTTGTTCATTAATTCGACTCATCCATACCTCAAAAGGTGAAGGGATATTTTTCTTTCTTTCCAAGAGAAACCTTTTCACTTCTTCTTCTGAATATGCTTGTCTTTTCTGTTCTGACAACCTGTTGAGAACAAATCATAATTAAAATGAATATTCACTTGCCATAATGACAAAATCAATACGTTACACAATAAAGCATTCCAAAAACAAGTGACTGAGCTACTTATTGGACATTTTTAATTAGTCCACTAAAAACAACATAAATGTGCTCTTTTTCTTTATATTTTTACTTCCTCTACCCAGGGTAATACAAATAACATTCATGCGAGATCGGTGTCACAAATGTAGTCCTACCTCAGCCAAACCAATAGATGGTCAACTTTTCAAAAACAAAACATAGAGTGCAGTTTCACCATACATTGAATTCAGGCTGATTGGGGAAGAAACATTTTTTTCTTGTATTCAAGAGGCGATAGACCTCATTAAGTATGGTGAACAGAGTATTAATGTGAAGGCAGAGTTCTTGTGATCCCACACTTTCAGTTTGCTGGTTTATTTGTTAGGTATACTCTGGCATAGGGGGGCTCTCGTGGCCTAGAGGTTAAAGTGTTGGCCTCTCATTCAAAGGTCCCGGGTTCGAATCCGGGAAGCGACCAAAAAATTTTCTTCTCTAAAATTGTCTCCTTTCACCTCCTTTCCTGCTCTCTACCAATGTTCTGTTGTCTGCTTTCATTTCCACTTTCTGCCCCCACCCCCTCACCTCCTTTGCCCCCTCCTCTGGGCTCCTGACTCTTTCTGCAGCCTTTCTACTGCTACTCCTTGGCTCCTCCTTACTGCTGTCTTTCTGCCACACCCCTGATCTTCTGGTAGGAAAGATCTACACCTAGCCTTCTCGGACAAGGGCGAAAAATCTCGGAGGGCCCGTGTGCAAGTTGCGCACGTTAAAGATCCCTTGGTGGTCTAAAATCGATAAGAGCAGGCTTCGGCCGCCACCCGGGCAAAATTCAAAATTTCCTACCGACTGAAAATATTAGGTGTGTCCCGTGCACTCATATGACCTTATGCAGTTGCGAGCGCCGTAATACACTTTACAAAAAAAACAAAAACTCTGGCATAGCCTATAGTATAGAATACATAAACAACTCGTGGTGGACTGCTACAACAAAAAGTTGATTCACCGAAACCATTAACAGAGTTCAGGCACGGCTCACATCCATTGCTTTTGCAACATAAATAGGTCATACAAGTGCTTAAGATAATAACTGCATAACATACAAAGAAAAGAAAGAGGAAAGATTAATAAGAAAGACAGATGTTTGAAAAGAAAGAAGGAGCAAACCACAACAAAGTATACGCCAGCCACCCACCTGCATCCACATTAACATCTTTATGTGTCCTACATCTTCACTTTAACAATATATGGATAAACTCTTACTGTAAGGCTGTGTCATCCAATGGTTTCACAGTGACCCTCCTCCTCCAAGCATCTCTCTCTTTCTTGGTAGATCTGACTGCAACAGGCCCAAGAGATTGCCGCACCCCTTCAATCTCTCCGCTGCGCCTCATCCCGATGCGGTCTGAATTGACAAACAACTGACATTGCAAATACTACACACACTCAAAAAAATAAAACGCTGTCATTGATCGCAGTCTGACACTTCTGGTGAGATGATGTCACACTTCCTGTTATATAATGGCATGACAGTTACTAAGGTCAGTCAGCAGCAGTGTGTTCAGTTCATTGGACACTTACAGATCATTGAGTTAGTGTTGTACTTACTCCTGGCCCCTTTTGCTTAGTAAGTAGTGCCTAGCCAGGCAATAACCCCAGCTGCTTCTTTCAATTGATTGACCCTACTCACACAGTTTGAGAACGGGTTGGCGGAGAATTGTTGTACCAAGTGTGAGCTGGTTTTGAGGCTAACTTGTCCCAAAAACGACTGACCATGGTTGCATTGGACAGATTAAAACTATAGAACACTGACTGACAGTTACCAAAGGAGATCGCTATTGAGAAATGACTGCTATAGCATGTTTGACTGTAGTTTGATAACAGTATAAATTGTTAAAATCCTCAAATTATCAACACTCCTGCACTTAAAATTTCTGTAACAGAAATACAAAATTTCAAATACAGAAAAACAGAACAAGGTTAAAAAACACAAGCACTCTTTAAAAAGCTTTAAAAATTACAAATCAATTCCTGCTCCAAAACTGAATGTTGGATGCAGAAAGCTTTTCATCTTCAATTGCTATTAAATACTGACTGCTCTTTTAAAATAAATCAAAGTATATTCTTACAGGTCCCAAAAGATTTAACTGAAATTCAAAGTAGTGTTGGCTAAAATATCCATCTCCAATAATTTTTATAACCAAACTTAAAACACCAAATGCCCATGTGCTCCTCGAAATGATCCTGAGAAGAGACAAAGCCTGTAAGCCAACCGAGGCGTCACACTCACTTTGCATGTTGCTGCTCCTGGGTGCCGGAGGTGAGGCCATGGGTGGGGGCGACCTGGCCTCTCCATTCACCAGAGGGCCCTGGCTACTGCCGCTGCCGTTCCTCTGCCTGCTGGGCCCAGGCTGCTCTCCTCCCAGACCCCGGTCTTGTCTTCGCTGCAACTCCTGTATCATGACATCGATGCTGGGTCGCACCGGCCTGTTGCCACCCCTAGAGCCACTCACAGAAGCCGGCCTTGCATCTCCAGCCCCATCAGCTGACTCATCTTCGGTCCCTGAACTGTCTCCCTGATCATCCCCATGGCCGTCTCCATTGTCCCGGTCTCCTATCACTTCTGATTCACCTGTTAAATATATAGTCATGAACATCACTCACTTCTGATATACCTACCTATCAAATATATAAAATCATGACCATCCATCACTTTCGACTCACCTGTCAAATATATAAAATCAAGATCACCTATCAAATAAACATGATCATTTGTAAAATATCAAGATTACAGGTCACTTATCACCTTCAATTCACTAATCAAATATAAAAAAACATGATTTTATAATCACTGATGCACTCTTAAAAAATTAATACATATAATATCAAAGTCATGTTTCTTTATCTTTTGAAATTCATCTTCCACTTATCAAGATTTATATCATGACACCATGCTTCCCTGAGAGATACATAATAAGACAACAAAAATAAAACAACAAAACGCCTCAACTCCCTACCGCCATGTGTAGCAGCAGCAGCCCCTCACATCCCCATTATACAAGGGCCAGATGTCTATAAACTCAAGAACAAAAATAAACAAAATACTGCCGTCCTTACCTTGAGCATTGACAGCCATCTGGGGGATAAGACTGGACTCTGTGCAGTTCTCACGGCCGGGGACACTGCGCTGAATGGAGGCTGGGTATGGGTTCCCGTCTATGTCCACCAAGAAGGGCGGGGGCATCAAGTGCGGAGGCTGCTGCGTCTGCTCGTCCAGTACATAGTTGTTGGCATCTCGCATCAGCGGACGGTAGTCTGTGTGGAAAAACAGCTGCTGTGGCAACTGTTCAATAGAGAGAAGCCCAGGGTGATCAGAATGAACTCTTTTGAAAAAGAAAAGGTATTACACATTTCGACTGCGGATGGCAAAGTCTTACTTTAAACAATCGATTTACACATAGCGAATTTTGTCATCCAGTTCGTCAGAATCGCAAACTTCCTTATAAATACGCTCCTGATTGGCTGATTTGAATAAAATAATATTAATAAACACCAAACTGAGTAGAAAAAAATTATCCATGCAGTAAACAACAATCTGATTGCAGATGTATTGGATATGCTGAGGTTTCATAGATTTTTTTTCTTCAACTAACTGAAAACTACTGACCGATGCTGTGCATCAGTTGAACTGGCATGTTGTATATTAAGAGTTTAAAAAAAGAACTATTAAAAGAAATTATATTTAACTTAATACAATGTTTTTGCCAATACAGAGGAGATAGGGGAGAGGCTAGTAAGTAACACCAAAGTAAATCTGGTCGTCACCAGTATTGGGAAGAAAACATTAACATCAGCAGCAGAGCAACCACCTCATAACTTATTTTTCACCCAATTCACTAATGGAAGCCAGGGATGTGAACATCTATCTCTCTTCTCAATTGGCTGCCAAATTCGGGGGTGTTTGGGTACTATTCAGATGTTTCTAAGCCACTCTGAATGAAGAGAGTTGGAAAATTACAGTGCCGTCTGGCAGGTTTTGGACTTTCTTTGATAAAAACTCGACGTTAACAAAGAAATCAGAACACTTTTTTCTTCAGCTGATAGTCCAAATTTCTCCCACAATTCTCTAGTGGTTTGGTTAACTTTAACTAAGCATCACTTTTCAAGAGAAAACATTGACTTTTCAAAAAATTCTAGAACCATCCACATCAGAAGACATATTTTATACCTCTGAACAATTCTGTTTGTATGTTTTAGTAGAGATTTTACGGAGCTCGCAACTGCATACGCTCATATGAGCGCCAAGGGGTGGATGTGAACAGAGAAGTCCTTACAGGGAATCAAACTTACTCTGCTGACCTCTCTTGCTTCAACAGCACAAAGTCTGCTTCGACTATCACGGCACCCCGAAAATAGCGGGTCACAAAAGTGTGACACATACAAAAGAAGAAGAGGGGAAATGACAATAGAAAGGATTAGAAAAGAAAAAGCAGCAGTTCCCTGTTGCAGTTCAGGCACAATTATGAACATGACATTGATGAATCAGTCCATTTACAATTACAATTCTACTGTGCATAAGAACTTGAGATGTTAAAGTTAATGTCTCCCCCCTTTGGGAATGGCCTAAAGACACTTCAGTCAGTAGCAGTGTCCCGGGGCGGTTTTTGAACAATTCTCTGATTACATTCAGCTCTTGTTCTCGTAAATATAAAACATACCTTTTTACACCTTTCATTTGTGCCAAATCCAAGCAACAGCATATGGCCATGAGAATCTGTGGCAGCCAGGGAATGACCATCAGGAGAGAACTTACAATCAAACACTGCTCCGTGGCCTTGGCCTTCAATCTGCACAAGAACAAATTTACTTTTAACCCAAAGATGTAAATCCGCACTCCCAATCATGAACTTCTTAACAGACCATTTCCATAGCATCATTCACTCAAGACATTACATTCCCATTGCACATCTATCAAAATACTCTAAGGTAAATAATAATAGGGGTGGACAAGTGGTCCAAAATCAATAAACGGGGGGGAGGAGGCGAGCGCCACATTCAACTTCATACCCCTGTACTAGTAGAAACAAATCTGTTTTATTTCTCCTTCAGTGAATAAAAGTACTAGAGACCATGAATTTTTGTGATTTTAGTCAGTTACTGTGGTAACTTTTCTCATTTAGGACCAGTTTCATTATAAAATATAAATCAATTTACAAAAGTTTTTTTAAAATGTACTGAAAATTGAGATAGCCAATCTGGTACTGAGGGTAATTTGCTATTTACAACAACAACAAAATTAATTAAAAATAAAAAAGAAGTTTTATTTAGATATCTAGATTCTACATATGTTTCAAACGATCGCCAGCCATGGCAGGCCGTAAAATAATAAACGGGGGGTAAAAAAACCTGAAAATTAATAAGCGACAGGGGGGCGCGCACACACACAGGCTATTTGACACCTTAGAGTATAGAGTACATTGAAAGATCTCTTTTGTAGTCAGCCCGCTATCTAGAAACTCAAGCAATAAAAATGATACATTAGTTTTAGTTTAATTCTAGTAAAAGTTTTATGGCATTTGCAACACAAATAGGTCATATAAATGATGAAGATTAAAAGGTGCCACTTGAGAGTAACGTAAAGAAAAGAACGAAAAGAGATACGGATGATAAATACTTGATGGGGAAAGAAGAAGCAAATCACACCACAGCATCCGTCAGTTATAAGTGGTTAATATATTGATGGGCCTCACAAGAGCTACACAGAAAGAAAAACAAAAACAAAGAGAAATTATACTAAATTGCCCCAAAATCACCAAAGACCACAACCCAGTATTAATACTATTGTGCTGCTAAAGGAAAATATTTTCAAGATACAATATATCATTAAATAGATTTTTGATAACGACAAGTATCATGTGGAATTCTTTAAACTTTATTTTTACAATTTAAAAAGACTGAACAAGTACCAAACAGAAAAAATTCCTTATGTTAGATAAAGAACGAACATACCAAGTTGAAAAACTTTTTAATCTTGGTGCCCGTTTCAATGTCCCAAACAATCATCTTTCCATCATGGCCTGCACTGAGGAGGATGCGAGAATCTGACGGGCAGGCTTCCAAAACATAAACCTCATCTTCATGACCCTGGAGAGAAAAGAAAACATATTTTCTGAATTAATGGCAAAGTACTATCAACAGGGTCCCCACCAAATCCTGGAAAAATTTTTCAAGACCCCCAAATCTTTTTCAAGACCCCATTTCGAGGGAAAAATCAGGCCGCTGCGCGTCAAGAATGATCCCCCAAAAAAGCCCATCTATCAATGATAAAAAGTCAAAATGTCTATAAATGAATGCAAATGTACATTTTGTAGTATAGTCTTCAAACAATAGATGACTATAATACTGGGTGACTGCCAACCCAGCTTCTCAATTTTCCAAAGGAGGGGCCTCATCCATTTTCCAGGAACACGTACCGTTACATAACAATGAAAGCGTGTGCTCCATTTATATCTAATATAATACATGTACAATGTATATGTTTGTGAATGCACACACACACACACACATGTAGGTACATTATATCCAGTCAACAACATGTCAGTGTGGCACTGGGGTCTTGAGAGACTGGTATTTCAGTCTGTTCTTACTTATTTATATTTTCCCCTCATCATATTAGCCAACATAACAAACTATAGACCCTATATAAAAAAATGAATCCTGTTTTGAGCCTGAGAAAAGACCTAGAACTAGAATATCGACTGTCAATAACCAGTCTGGGTGTCATGATTCATATAATAAACATGAAGACGAAAACCATTGCTGCAACTCAAAGAAGAGTAATATTAGTAATACCTAGAATGGCTCAAGTACACCTATTCAGTGTGAGAGGTGGAAGAACTGGGGGGGGGGGGGGGGGGGGGGGGGGGCCGGCCCCAGAAAATCAGGCGCCCTGGAAAATCTGCCAATCTTGAACAGAAAGCTAAAATATAGATATAAATTACAATCACCCCATCCAATGATATGAAACGCAAACACTTTAGTTCATTAACAAGGCATGATGGATCCCGATTCCACACAAGGCCTGCACCAACCGGCGCTTTGCAGAGAGATCTAAAGTAGTTATCAAAATCCTAAAAAATTGCTTCCAAGTTCAGTTTTTGTCCTCTAGCGTTGCCTTCAGCCCCCCCCCCCCCCCCCCCCAATCCCCTTCCACGAGTGTATCTTATAAAGGAGTCCTATACTTCACAGCGCTCAGACCACCGGTACTCACAGGTTCATTGACCGGTCTCGAGGGCGAACCTGTCAAGACACTTGTATAAGTTCTTTTTCTTTTTTTTCTACAAGCGACAGCAGAGGGCAATTTTTAATATTGATTTATTTTCAAGGCGACACAGCGTTCATAATTCATAACCTGCATGTTACAAATGTTGCGTTATCTATCAGACTATTACCGGAAAATTTCTGGGCAGTAACGAAAGCGAAAGTAGATCTTGATTCTTCCCGATCGAGCCTCAATGTCACACATACACTTCCGACACAGCGGTTCAATTACGTTTCCTCTTCTGGATTCATCAACCATACAGTCTAGATAGATACACATTACACAGGCCCTATCCTTCCCGACCCATCACAAAATTCCCGACTTTTTCCCGACCTCCCGACCCATCTCAAAATTCCCGACTTTTTCCTGATTTCCCGACCTGGTGGGGACCCTGTATCAAGAGCCTTAAAAACATCCCCAACAACATGTTCAAAAATGCCCTGTAGGGGTATTGACCCACGGTCATCCAAACCATAGCTCAGCATGAAACCAACTGAGCTATTGACACTCCTAAAATCAGTGCTAAAAGATCAGATCCAACAAAAGCTAACAGAAATATCAGTGTGTGCACAGGAAAATCCATTCAGTCCCCTAAAGGACTCTAGTGACAAACACTTTATACAATGGCAGCTTTTACTCCTCTCATTGCTTTTCACAAATTCATTTTGACTCTTGTAAATGAAAACAAAACAATTGTGGATGAAACAGAGTCAAAAGACCAACATATATGCAAACAAGCAACAGAGTAAACATTATCATGTAATTCATATTGACCAAAAGCCATATAGCAGCACATTACATTTTGCTAATGACTATCAGAGTAAAAGAGAAGCATATAGACACATGAGAACAATCAATGTGTGCTGCAAAACAGTAAAAGACAAAAAGGAAAAAAGAGGAATAGTAGAGAAATACCTGCTCCCCCGAAAAACTTCATACATATGTTCAGAAAAAAAACAACCAAAAAACCCTAATGTTTTGAAAATCATGGGCCGCCTGGTTTAAACGAATTCCCAGTTAAGTGGCAGAGCAGAGAAACCAACTCACTTCCAGCACTTGTAGCAAGGTCCCCGTGTGTGAGTTCCAAATCTTGATGGTAAGATCAGAGGCAGCTGTTATCACTCTAGCATCATCCATGCTCCAGCTGACCATTGTCACTCGCATCTGATCCATGCCACAACCAAACCTTGGCACAGAAGAGCGGCTTGAAGGGCTGTGAATGGCAGAACATCATTTGGTGATAAGAATCATCAAGAAAAGTAGCCTCCTGCTAAATGAATCATGCAACTACAATTGAATAGTATGATCTTCACTGCCAGGCCTGAGGGTGCCTTGTGTTCTTTGGTAAGATTATGAAGCAGGCTTGGTGGCGATAAATATTCACTTTGCCCATTTCCAGTACAGTGAAAAACCTTAAAAACTACTCAAATAATTAATTAATTATAGTCTAAGAACGCTCTGTCAGGATTCAAACTACGCCACACACTGTACACCAGCATGACAACAACAAAACTAACCATGGGCCTTAAAGTAAGACTATCAGCTAAAATGGCGAATTATTTCAAAGCTCAATTCTGTAAACATTCTACCCATTCTTCAGTATCATTTTGTTATAAACCAGCACAAACTAAAATTTAAAGAAACGTGTACAGCTTATTTTTGCCGCTAGATATAACAATAAAATTACAAGCCTATAATGAAAAAAACCCAAACCAACCAACCACAAATACAACAAAAAACAAGCATGACCGACAATTCAGAAAGCTGTTACATATTCAATGTGAGTATGTAAGAATTTAAGGTATAGAGCGAGAGGGGACACTGATATTTATTATTTCATCATCACGAGAGCATCAGATTGTCCTTTACTTTGAATAATATCCCATCAATTTGCAAACAGACTTCATTTAAAACTCAACAGAAACATCAAATTTCAACAACACCTGTCCAGCCTGCATCTTATCAATATATCTGACTGTAACTGACTTGACATAACATCCCGCTGAAGGAGAACAGTAAACATTTCCCGCCAGTGAGAAGTCATGAACTAATGATAGGAACGTTGTCTTCTACATAGCTTTTTATTAAAATAGGGAGGGCCAGTGCTCAACCCAGGACTAGTGTTAAGAGATGCATGTGTGAATGTCAAAACTTAGAAGCAGACAAAAGGAGAAAGTTATATTATTAAACATTTTGATACTAACAACTCTTTGGCTCGGGATCAACGTAATCGGTTTTAACACCGTATCTACTTTTTAAACAGGTATGCCAAGTAACTGTGGGTGAATTAGCTACGACAAACTAAAAACACACCTCTGAAGTGTGGCTGCCATATTCAGCACAGTTGCCCGCCATTCATGTTTCTGTAATCGCCAAATTCTGGCGGTGCCATCGTTGCTGCCACTGACAAATCGGTTCAAGTGATTGCTGTAGCAGATACTGTCCACTTTATCCTGAAAGATTAGAGTGAACATTAGTAAGAGATTGTGATATCAAAGGGATGTGTGAGCACTTTACTTGCATGTGGTGTTTTTGCCTTGTTCCGAACTACCCTCCCCCCCATCCCATCCCAGAATTGTTCAATACTTAGTTACTTCTGAAAACTTTTCTTTATCAATGAAATGACCAATGTCTATAAAGCACTGGCTAAATGAGCTATTATACCAAGGAAAAAGTGTAATGCTCAATCCAAACCCAAAAATAATCACTGGGATGATAACATTTACCAACTAGTTTCACCTAGGCTGTTCTATTCTTTCTAATAAGGGCAACAACTACAATTACTTACCGTGTGAGCCTCCAGTTCACATATCTTCTCCGGTCCTGCAGCATGCAGAAAGTACACCCGAACCACATGGTCAGAGTTGCCAGTGGCCAAGAACGCCCCACCAGGGGAAAAGGAGGAACACAGCATCTGGGCTCCAGCTCGGGATTTCTCAATGAACTTGATTGGTTTTGGACTGAAAACCCAAACACACAAAATTTGGAGAATGTAGTAGTTAAAAATGTGATTTAAACTCAGCTTTATTCTTAACTATGTTCACATATATGCATCATATGCATACCTGCTCTACAAACAAAAGCTTTTTTTAGAAGTCAGAAGAGTGCCAACAATGTCCACATAGTACCGGCCCACCAATAAAAATTGCTTACAGTAGTAAAGAAAATGTTTCACAAAGCAAAAATTTCAGAGCAAAACACAGAAAATTTGACTGGCTATTTGAAGAAGTTATTTTTCCCAGTCTGTTATATTCTGACACCTGAAAGATTCAAAAGGAACAGATGGCATATTGGACAGCTCTGAAATAAAAGTATCAAATGTTAAGATTACGAGATAACTGCTTAACTACACACGCCTAAAAAGAAAAAAGTCTTTTATTATCATACCACATTACCTGAACTCATTGCTGGAAATGTTGTAGTGCCAGAAGCACACACAACCATCATTTCCCGTGGACACTAAGTACCGCTGGTCACCTTGAATCTTTGGACAAAACTGAAATCCACAAAAACAGCATTCAGCAATTTATGTTGTAGTGCATCTACAGTAATAGACATGGAATTTTTTTTTGTATACTGCATTCAAGTAAAATTGAAATTGTCCAAGATAACAAACCAATTGTTGAGGAGAAAAGTGGTTGTCTGGGTGTCATTGACATTGTCACTATAATATTTTTCTTTTTAAACAAAAGGAGGGAAATGGGAAGTGGTTGTTTGTACAAGTGGCCACTAGAGCAAGTCCGACTGCATTTTCAGCTGATAGCTATCAAACATCCTCCAGTCACCACTTTGCCAAAAAATCGTCTCCAGCTTGATTTACCAGCATGTTTATAAGGAGAAATATAAGTAAAAAACCACAACAGACTTTCACAGGGAAAAGCAAAGCCATCTTTCTTTTATGTCACATAGTTTATAGCTCTATCATTAACCCTTTGAACCCTTGCCACCGGTACACCAGTGCTGCTCAAAACTGCCCATATGCCTAGCCATTGGTACAGCGGTGAGCGAGACCCTATCCCCCACCCAGCCCGCCTGAGAAAAAACGCGTACGGAAGATAGCGTTTACTACAAAAGACATTACTGATTATTTCAAAGATCGTTCTGAATTAGCTGCTGGTAATGGCAAGGACTACCCTGAGTGGGATATGGAGCATGATTCTGGCGATCATGTGAATGTTAGTAATGTATCGCTCAGGCAGAGGGGCACAGTAGCCTCAGGAGGTCATAGCTCAAAGGGGTTAAGAGGGACAAAAAGAATGCTATCAATTGATCAAGGAAAATTATAAACAGAAAAAAAACAAAACAACCAGACTTTTGCCTGAAATAAAAATCACCTGGACAGATGTGATCATGCTGGAATGTCCCTGTAGGACAGCAGCCGGTGCTTTAGAGCGCAGACACCAGACACGGACAACTTTATCACAGCTTCCACTGGCCAGATGAGTGTTTTCAAATGACACCGCCATGTCAGTGATTTCTGCTGAGTGACCCCGCAAAGTGGCAAGCAGGCGCATGTCAAATACACTCCAGATCTTGACCAGTGCATCATCAGCTCCCTGAACAACAAAGTAAGAAATTAAGTGAGGCGGAAAAGGTACAAGTCATGTGTTCAAAAAATACAATATATTCGACACATCACTATTTGAAATAAAAGTAATGTTTTAGTTTTAGTAGAGGTTTTACGGCGCTCGCAACTGCATGAGGTCATATGAGCGCCAGAAGATTAGAGGTGTTACAAGAGAGTAACAAACATAAAAAAGAAGGAGGGGAGATAAGGACGATAGATTTTTTATAGGAAAGAAGAAGCAAATAAAAGTAAATGAACCAGACATTCTCACAATCCTAGTTGCAATGTTACCAACCTGGTCTTTTCAAATCAACAGAAAGATATCAAAATCTTTTGAAATATATACAAAATGGTTTATTGTTAAGAATTGTATCAGCAATTTTTAAACTTTAAATTGTGGTCCACATGTGCCAACAAACTCAAGGAAAATTACTTAATATTTCTTAAACGTCATCAAGATATTCCTCCATAGAATGTAAACCCATACCCCATTCCAAAGCCCCCCCCCCCTCCCCAAGAAGATCAAAACAATAAAACAGCACAGAAACATACTGTCTATCACAGGTGGAAGCAGAACACATTTACTATAACCCTGGAACACAAGACAAAACTTTTTTTGTCCTACAGACAACACACAAATCCCATTCTCTAAAAATACCCAGAATATAAGATAACATAAAACGAATCTTTGTTGTTCAGATCCTGGTATACTCCTTTGGTGTTGCACCACAAACACTCTCTACTTCACACATGTCTGTACACATAAACATAATTATAATACCATGCTTACACTCACAAACAGGCTCACAGTCACACACAAACTAATTATATTTGTGAAGCGTGCTGACAAAAAGAGTTATTTCTGGGATTCGAGCCCTATTGAAATCGGTACATCATGCTTATAGGTGAAGTTTTTACAATTTATAAGTATGAAAGGCATACATACTTAAAGAATATGGCATCAATAGAAAATCTACAAATTTGAGCCTAGAGTCGATTTTTGGCCACTATCTCAATTTATGGATAGCGAGAAGTAACTCGTTTTGTCAGCAGGTCTCACAATTGTTAACAGTTAAAAGTAATAATGTTAAGCTAGATACATAATCAGTATTCTGATTGTAACCCAATGATATTCTGATACTACATGCTTTAAAGGTCATAGAAATAGCTATATAACAAGATTATTAAAATGGTGGGAGTTAATGACCTTCTGTATAAATATCATTCTTTATTACAAATCAGAAGCCTGTCCGTGATTTCTAGAGCCACTCCCCCTGAGTCTCACTCTCTTACTCTAATAATATTATACGACTACCATAACTAAACAAAACAAAACAGTCCAAAAGTGCAGTTGGACAAGAACATGAACAACAGAAAAAAAGTTCAAGGCTGGAATCTGAGATCACAGTCCTGAGTTCATTCAAAGAAACCCTGGGAAATGGCCACCATAGTCTAGTAAGTTACTTAAATTTCAACACCCACAATATGAAATATGAAACGAAGAGCCATGTCATTACAGATCAGTAACTCAGAACTACAAAGTTCTATCTGCTCAATAACTAGCTTTGAGAAATTTGACATCAAATGAAGTTCCCAGTTCTGTCAAAGAGCACACAGAATACAGCAGACAGGTGGCCCAACAAAGCAAAAAATAAGATGGACACCAACATGATTAATGTAAAAATACTTTAATACCAACCGTAAAAATGAAGTTCCCAGTTCTGTCAAAGAGCACACAGTATACAGCAGAAAGGTGGCCCAATTTTCTGCCATACATACTGATTTTGCTGTACACACTTGTGGGCAATGCACTGTGTTGTCTGAGTGCTCCGGACATCTGATAAGCTTGCAGCACATGAGCTGAAGTACCATAATAAAAATCAAAATGAAAATAAACACAATGAAGATAAAAGCATACTTTTCTACCTAAAGAATCATGACATAAATATCACATATATAATAATTGTGGCATCTGTGGCCTAGTGGTTATGCTCTCAGGCTTACAACCATAAAGTCATGATTCGAATCCTGTCAAGGAACTGATGTTGTATCCTTGGGAAAGGTGCATTACACAAATTTTCTTAATTAAAGAGCCCAGGAAAAAAAGATATATTTGCCTCGCCGGACTGAAAGCTGCGAAATATGGCTTGAGGGGCTCGCTATCTATTCCAATCCAGTAATGAAAAGGCACGAAATTCTCTGCCGATCAATGTTTTCTAAATAATAGAATAGACTTTCTGTTAGCGGATATGAACGAAAATATAGCACTGACAGACAATTTTTAGTCATTACAGCGCTTTTTTCTGTCCCCTTCGAAACGTAATGATTAAAAGTAAATGGCTCCCCTGACTTCAGTATATGTCTCATATTTTCACTTCAGTAATAAGTACACATACATAGCTTTCAGCATTTCTTTACATTACCTGAGGCATCCTTCCTGGGAAGTTTTAATGATGTCGTTGTTGTACTTTTTTAGTTATGACCTTTCAAAGCTGGAAAATTGTTGACGTCATATGACACCTTAGATATTGCATAATCACTTTTAGAAACCCCAAACTAATATAATTGGAATAAATCTTCAATATTGTACCACCATCTGATAGATTATTTTTTAATCTTCAGTTTGATGGGCCATATATGGTTTGTGTGTGTTTAGTTGGATGTTTTGACATTTTCCTTTGGTGGGGCAGGGGCGTAAAAACAAGTCACGGAAAAGCCCTGGGCCAGTGGTGGATATTGGCCTGGTAGGAAAAGAGTTAAACTGTGATTACAAATTATCACTCTTTTGAGGACTCCAGTCTAATAATAGAGTATTCTGTCTCAATTATCTCCATTCTTCCACTTACGAACAGGAGGGGCAGCAAGATTGGCGGGAGGGTACAGAGGAGCTCCATGGTGTCTGATAGCATGATGAGCAGGAACCCACTTGGTGTGCTTGAGATCTGAAAAATAAAACATAGATATAAGATTTTAAAATCTTTATTGTCCAAATGCTGGCACATTGGTTTGGTGCTTCACCACACACACACACACATAAAAATAATACACACACTATATGCATAGTAAAAAAAAATAACAGTGCTCACCTAACGATTAGAATGAACCAATAACCAAAAGAGTTATTGTGAGCCATCCATTGAAGCAATAAAGGTGTAGTCATAGTTCATCATGGAAGTAAATTGGTACGAGAACAGGAACATTTCATTGGGAACAGGTGAGGGACAACAGTAAAGGAGCAGACCATAGTACAGAGCCATTTGACCATCTACCTTCTATTGGAAATACTGCAAGAATAATTTTGAGTATGAGTAAGGAAATGCACCTCAACAAAATAATAGGCATTTAAATTTAGTGCAAGGAAGAAACAAGACAGATAGAGACAGAAGTAACCGAGGGAACGAAAAAAAGTAGAACCAACCAGTGATGCCCTCCAACCACCCACAGTTGGAAGACTTACAATTACAACATTTTGATACAGAGCTTTTTAAAGTTGACAGTAGTCATAACAGGGCTCTTTGAACACAAAACAGTCATAAAAAAGAGGACATGGATGGGCAACAAGGCCTTGGGAGGAAATAACACTTCAGCAGCAAATAATCATGGGCTTAGATGAAAAATAAAATTAATGATTGATGACAGCTCATCCAGTTTTGGAACAAAAGTATTAAAATCTACAGGCAGAAACAAGTCACAAAAAATTACACACAACAGTAGAATCCACCATTGTTATTCTCCATTGATCCATTTAACTGTAGTCAAACCTGCCCTGACGACCACCTGTACAAAGAAACACTGCATCCCACATTGTGTTTTTTCTATATAATGGCACTGCCCAAGACCATGCCCTGTCTAACTTGGCCACTATATTTCATCAACCAAAAACTTGTACAAGACGACCGTGCAGGTCTCTCGTCGCCCAAAATGTTACCAGAAGTTGTATAATATCAGCCGTCTTGTCATAACCTATTCACCTTTCTCCTATTGTTAACTCATCTTACAAATGAAACACTCGCTTTTAACAGTCCCTCCCACTTTTTACCCAATTCAGGCCTGCCAACTTTTAAAAACGCAAAATAAGGACAACCAGCGTGAAGACCTTATTTATGGCCAACAAGGCAACAAGGAGTCGGGATTGAGTAAAGGAGTCGGGATTGAGTAAACTTAATGTGCAAAGTCGATTGCCATGTGTACTTGAGCATTATATGAAGCCAAACCGCCAAACAGTAAATGACCTACGGCTAATTAGGATATTTTAGTAACACGTGAGTTCCGATATCTATTTCATTTGTAATTTTCGCGCAAATAATTGCAATAAATATTATGATTTAGTGAGACTCTTGAAATAGGAAAATCAAGACTATTATCAGGAATTCTGGAGCAGCACATCGGATTCGGGAAATTCCCGACAAAATCGGAAAGGTTGGCAGGCCTACCAATTTGACCTGTCAGCAATACACACAACTGAAAACATCCCTTTCAGTCCTACTACCTCAAACATTTAAAAACAAAATAAAGAATAGGACTACAAACTAATGAGCCACAAGCCAGCGACTACCTCCACCGGGGACCTTGAAGGGAAGGTTTGTTTTCTTTATTTTCATCTGTTTCACCCAAGACTTCCACATGTCCTAGACGACCACTTTCTCCCAGACAATGGTGGCTAGCTTGGACAATGTCAACCATAGTGTTAAGAGCATCATAAGAAACAAAAATAAAATATTACACTAGCTTGGCCATTAGAGCCAGCTTTAAGGAGTGATCTGCTTCAACCCTGCAGAACTTTCTCAATTTCTCACCTTCTGCCGTCCGCAGAATAGACAAAGTTCCAGCACCTAACAGAGACTTAACTCCAGGCACACTTGATTTCACTTCTTTATCAACCAGCGTCCCCACACGTTCCACAATTCTCAGTAAGTGATCAGGTCGAATATGTCTGTTCAAATACACCTGCATAGCACAACAGACAAGGGGGAAAAAAACATTAAATTTTACAAAACTTATTATTTGAGTTTGGCAGAAGAGGCTTATATTAATTCAAGTATTGATTTATCATGATATTGAAGTTAGAGAAATCTGATAATTGAAAAGACTAGGTCACTGAATCACTTTTTATCTATGAAAAGAAGGGGAATGTATTACAAAAACTCTACAAACACATTACAGATTTGAACCCTTGTTCATGAAGTTCATGTACTACCACCTAGGTTAAGTTAAAAAATAAATATGGGTCTATCTTGTAGAAAAATTGTAGCAAAAAAGAGCTAATTTTTTCAATAAAAGGAATAAGGATCAGAGAAGACATATATTTACTTGTTGAAACCAAATTCACATGCATTTATTACTAGGAAAGCAACTCATTAAGATGGACTGCTGATGTTAATATTCACAACTAGTTAAGTTTGAGAAATGAATGACTTTAGACTAATTCTCCTTTCAGATATCCAAGCCCCAGAGTGCAACCAATCCATGAATTACATTCACTCATACATCCTACCTAAAAGACCTTTGAATTCTCAAATACAGGGTTGGTGATTTTTTTTTACAAATAAAAATTTTTAAAATCGATTTTTAAACAATTTAATCAGATTTTTAAAATTTTTTACTTAAAAACTTGCGTTTGTCTAAAAAGAAAAAGAAAATGCTAATTTCAATTATGAAAAAAAAGTAAATTGAATACTGTATTGTGTTTCTTTTTAAAACCTTCAACCCAAACAACTCAATGGGTAATTTCAACATGATCTAAATTGTTGGTTCTTGTAATACTATTAATATTGTATGAAAGTGATTTACTTTCAAATTACTTCAGCTGCCTTTTTGTTCCTTGCAATAATATCTGAATTATTATTTTTGTTACATTGTTTGTGATTTATTTGTTAATGTTTTTAGTTTTTATTCTCCTCAGTCACAATTGATTTGATCTGACATTCAATAAATTATTACGTTTACAGTTAATAAATCTAGACATTTCCTCAGTCTGTGTACTGTGTGTGTGTGTGTGCACTTGTGTTTGTCCCAAAAAAAACCCCCCCAAAAAACCCTGCTAATTTCAATTATGAAAAAAAAGTTATTTGGATACTGTATTATTTTACAGTGACAGGAGGAAAGCAGACTTTTAAGCATGATTATATTAGTCTACTAAACCTTATGTCTGTTTTATAAAACCAAGGAAATGAATTCTGAATGTTTAAATATACATAAAAGTTAAATAAAAATTATTTTTAAAAAAAGTGATTTAAATCACTGATTTTTATAAATCAAGTTGATTTAAATCAACCCAACCCTGCTCAAATATGCCATATTCAATTCAATAGACAAGCTTATAACACTACATCAAGAAAACTAGTCACAATCTAAAGGTTGAAAACATAATGAAAAAAGTGGAACTTGCACAACCCCCCCACCCCCTAATAAAATAGAGAGAAATGTCCTCTTATGTTTACCTAAAAGATTTGATTGGTACTATTATTACAGCCACCAATCTCATGCTAAAAAGAGTGTTTTCAGAAATAAAAATCTTCATCCTGTTTTCATTGTTTGAAAAAAAATTAAATCAACACAGCAATCTGTTTCAAGACATAAGCTTAAATAACTCATAATTATTATCACTTTTGAGTAGCAACTATACTGCCACTGGAAAAAAAAGAGAAAAAGAAAACTGTTTGTCAATGTCTTTGTAACTTCCACACAAATCCTGTAAAATTTTACCAGAGAGTTTACAGTAATACTACTGTAAACCCTCTCTGATTTTACCCTTCCCTTGTTTGTTCCTATTCAGCCATTGTCCGATAAAGACAGAGAGAGAGAGAGAGAGAGAGAGAAAGAGAGAGAGAATTTGGGGGAGGGGGGGGGGGGGGGGGGGAATAAAAAATAAAATAGCAGTCTGTATAAGGCTAAGTAAAAAAAAAAAAAGCCAATTGTGTCCCCTGAGTTCCCCGTGTATGCTGACCTATTTTCGCGACCTATTTTCAGTTCCAGCAACAGCTGACACGGAAGTCAATTGACCAATCAGAACTTGTGTAACTAACATTTGCCTGAAAGGAAGCCCCAATGTTAACTCCAATCTGATTGGCCTTTACATGTTCTACAAATGACGTCACTGGTCCAAAGCATAAAATGAATACCTGTATAGGGGGAATTTTCTTTCCGAATTTTTGCAATTATCTTAATAATCAGCGTATTTTCACAAAATTTAATGGTCCCAGTTGATAAGGCCAATTTTTATCCTCACATTAAAAAAAACTCCATATTTTTTCCATATCCCTTTGCAAACAGTAAATTATTCTAAAGTCGGTCCTATTTAATTCTACTAGAAATTGTTTTCAAGACTTACCAGATTATCATAGCTCCTGAAATGCTCGTTACCTTCCCAGTCTACTCTCCTTGGCAAAAGCTGAAAACAAAGGCTTTCCTTTATAAAATGAACAACATATTGGGTTCACTGGGATCATTGAAAAATACAAGAGGCATTTTAATCAAATATCTTGTCAAAATGAATTATCTGAGAGGAAAACATCAAAATAATTCAAACCATACAATTTCGTATACGAGAGAGGTATAAGTGGAGTTGTGAGATCGTTACACAAAAACAAGAAAGGGGTCCTCACCTTGAACTCCTCCAGTTCTTCCAACAGGACCTGAAAAGATAAAGTGAATGTATTAGGTAGAGAATTTCCAAATTCTACAATTAAATCGATAGGAAATAAACTTACCTTGGCTGTGCGTTGACATGGTCCAGCTGATAGGAACCGAGCGATGAGAAAGTAGAGTTCTGAAATAGAGCACACAACACAGTATCTTAGTCACAGTCGGGGGCAATTGAAGCACGATAACCCATTCTAAAGGCTTTAATATAACTTACCAGGTTCCAAAACCGATGAAGAAGAAGTATGAGAATCCATTTATCCCTTTAGTCCGAGAATACCATGCTGTATCACAAAGAATTTTAAGTCAACTTGCGAGGTAATGATGACAAAACGAGTGACGCCATGATTGACACTATGTACAACGAGAACCCCGAGTGGTCGTCCATGCTTGGCGCATAAATACTGTTTCAAATTTAAAACACATCAACTCTGGTAATAACGATGCAGTCTGATTTTCTATAATATATTCTATCAATGTTAAATCTTTTTGTAACAGTATACTCGAATCTTTACCACTGACACTTCAAGAATCTTCGCACTACTTTACACTCGAAATTCACAACACATACTGTGTACCCCCACTTTCGGCCGACCCTGACTTTGCCCAATTGGCATATATATCAAACACCGGACATTGTTTTTGTTGTTTGTCTAGGAGCCAGATTTTTATTGACAGTCTGAAGGATTGTCATTCTATTTCTATATCTTTTAAGAAAATTAATTGACGTAAGTAACCTTCTGTTCACCAACTGATATTCATCCAAGCTGAATTTAGATGCACGTGTAGAAAGTAGTCTTTTCAACAACAATTATGGCTGTGGATCTATTCTATTTGACACGTGGATCTACGATTGATGTTTCTGGTTGCAGGTCAACATCTGATCAATCAAATTTTAGACGCTTTAAGTTGATAACATGTATTTCTGTCCTAGCCTAGTCAACTGAGTACGTTTTCTTTCTAGTATGTGTGCTATACAATGTGTTTCTTCTAGATTTACTTATCTTGAGACCTGTGTGCGGTCATGCCAATATATGTATATGAGCTGACTTTGATTTCGTACTGTAACATTGTGCAATGAACCATTTGATCTATGAGCTCATACACACCAATAGATTTCCCACTGCTTTAGACTAATGCAATGACTGTCGCTACAAACTTTGAAGTGATACAGGTAGGTACTTTTACAGCAGCACCAACATGGTCTTTCTGCAAACCGATAAAGGCATCAAATGGGGAGCGAGTTCCTGGCAATCAAAAATACACGTACTGTGTTGTTTTGGTCGAATTGGAGACAGGTGATACGGTGATGGTTGGGATTGACTGACTGGTAGGGGCCTACTACTTGCATCATCTTTTTGCTCTCCGACTGCCTTCCTTTGGAGGTATGAGTGTGTGTCTGTTTTTGATTTTGAAAGATTGTGAATGAAAAAAGAAGCATGCCAATTTATATTTTCTTTGGGGCGTCTGTTGAGCGAGCAAAGCCTGGCCCCACCCGGTGGCTGTGTGACTGACTGAATGTGTGTGAAAGTGAAAGCGCAAGAACTTGAGAGATCATCTAGAATCTAGATCTAGATTCTAGATAATATCTAGATTCTAGCACAAGATGATCTAGATCCAATATCAGCCTCAATTTCTAGATTACGAGTTGGATGAAGACGAATAACAGCTAGATCTAGGTTATTATTCAGACTGTCAGTTTCGACAAGATCCCATCATGTTCAGTCGACACGTCTTCGTCTTCAGTCACCAGATGCCACCAAATGTTATTTTCTCAGATTCAGATTGTTCCGTCATGTTCATTTCTTTGGGAACGCCCTTTTGCACTTTGATTCCTGGCGACACACCCTGGCTGTCCTGCTGACTGAAACTAGATTCTAGATCTAGTGAAAGGTTGTAGCTCTATGTCCCACGGGCTACGGAACCAGAACTACTATAATAATAAAGAAGTCTTGCTAGGTTGTCCAACAACTTCTACCCTTTCATTCAAGTAAAGTAAAGGGGGAAAGTTCACAAACAATTCTGAATCAAAGGCCACAGTTCAGCACTAGGTCTAGGTGATGTGTACTTCCTGTGAGATGGCATGTTGGTTTTATTTTGGTGCTCATGAGGGCAAAAAATGTGTATAAATTAAAGTTTAGAACACTGAAGAACTTAATTTCGTACACATGACTGAAAAGAAGTTGAAGAAACACTTGAAACAGCCCCTTCAAATGTGATTGGGAGGTGCCATGTCTGATGTCTTTTTCTACATTGCTTTTTTTAGTACTTCTTTTGTATAAAAAATAGGCCAGCACTATTTCTCCGAACGTTCGGGAAAATAAAGCTGGGCACTATTTCTCCGAACGTTCGGGAAAATAAAGCTGGGCACTATTTCTCCGAACGTTCAGGAAAATAAAGCTGGGCACTATTTCTCCGAACACTCTGAAATCACATCCTTTCCCCGAAATTTAGGATATTATATAGAGTATAGACCTACCAAAGATTGTTCGTATACAATAATAATGGTTCAATCGGTCTAAAAAATGTCCGCAGTAAATATTTATATTAAAAAATACTACAGTTCCAAACAGTTTTTCGCTACAGATATGACGTGTTGCCTTTGAAGGGTGCTGCTCTTAAACTTAATGTGTTGTGTTCACTCGTGTGCTGTCTAGATCTAGATCTACGGAGGGTTATTGATAACGACACATATAGAACTAGCTTCAGCGTTTGTCGCTGCCACGACCAATCAATCGTGGCTCGATTTTTTGGGTTTTTTTGGTCGGGGAATAAAAGTCAAATTAAAAATAAAAAAAGAAAGAAACCGAACCTCTTTACTTTTGAAAGAAAGTTCCCTTAACTTCACTTAGTCTCCTTCTCACTTGATGTCACCACGTTGATTTGTTGAATACGTACAGTTACTTTTATTTTTCCCTCTTTGACTCTTTGCGGTGTTTTATTTTGTTAGTGTGTAACTTTTTTTCTTGTTATTGTTCTGATGTGTTGTTTTTCCATCAATTTTTTTTTGTTGGGGAAAGGGGGGGGGGGGGACGTTGCATAGTGTAACGTCATTTAATTTGATGTTTCTAGTATCTACCTTCATTAGATTCTAAATATGTATATATAGATTTTAATGTTTTATGTTAGAGCGTACGTTCCACCAAAACCGATTAAATGTACTGACACTGGCAGGCCCCTTAATGTGTGTGATTCCATAATATAATTTACAAGTAATATCCTGTACTTTAAAAAAAAAAAATTTACGCACTTTTATGGGTTCTTCTAGGTTGACACACACCCTTATCTGTTAATTTTTGTGGTTGTTTATGGGCTGTTCGACTAATTTTGATTTAATTCTGTTGTGAAATCTTTCTTTTTCACGTTCTAAAAATCTCTAGACTAGCTCTTGAAAATTGAAATAGATATAGACCCAAAAATTTGCTCCTGTGTGTGTGTGTGTGTGTGTCTATGCATGTGCGTGTGCGAGTGTGTCTGTGTGTGGTGGTAAGTGTGTAAGTGGAGAGTGAGGAGTGAGTGTGTGTTTTTCGGGCTTTATTTCAGCCTTTATTCAGTAACAGTTCAAAGTATACAAAAATAAAAAACAGGATACATTCACTCCAGTGCTCATGAGTCGTTCCTCTCTTTCAGTTTCACTCTTTCATTCAATTCTCGTGTTCTCTCCCGCGGCTCATCCCCGTTCTCATGACTTTCACACCCCACCCCCTCCCTCCAGGCACACACAAAGAAAATCTCACTCATTCCCTTGCTCCCTGCGAACCATGGACAATAATATAGGTAAAACACTGCCTTAGCAACATTCCTTTCGTTCGTGAGCTGTGGACCAGGCCATGGGGGTCGGTGTCGTCGTCTTGTAGTTGCTGTCGCCTGTGGATACACTCGTAAATTCTTCCTTTCACCCGCTCTGTCACTCACACTGTCTCTCCATCCACAACTCAGCTCGTCATACGTTCAAAAGTTGCCCACTGATCATGTTTAGTTAGTGTGTGTATAAGTTTGTGTGTGTACATGTGCAGGATGGTGGTGGGTGCGTGGTGGGTGTTACTGAAGGTTGTATGTAGGCGGGCTTGCCATGTGGTGTTCCTTCCCAGACCAGAGCCAGAGGCAGAATGGCACAATGAAAGATGGCGCCGAACTCTCGCAATAAATAGGCAAAAAATCACGAGACCGGAAGCCGGAAACCGTTCGGAGAAATAAAGATCGGCACTATTTCTCCGAACGTTCGGAGAAATAGTCACTTCGTAAAAAATGTGTGTGGCAAAATGCAAGAATTGTGAATGTGTTGTTCTTCTTGACATTTTGAATAATAGTAATAGTAGGACTCTTCTGATTATTCTGGGCTACCCTTGCTGTCTAGCCGTAGTATGACTAAAGTACGGCTAGCCTGCCAGTCTACCTGTACTTAGGACTAGGTTAGGCCCTATTGTCCAAAACCTAAAATACAATGCATGTCAGTAAGGCACCTTTTGGTTATGTTTGAAACACGAATGAAGACTACAGGGGAAAAATGACTAGATCTAGTCACTAACTGAAGATCGCGAGGGTGCCAATTTTAAAAGCTTGTGGACTCATAACTTCATATTTGTTTGGCTGGTGGTTTATTGTTTAATGTTGTTGAATGGGAAATCTCACAACAATAATCAACCAACAGTTGAACAGAAATACAGTTATGAGCGAACAAGCATTCAAAATTGGTACCCTCACGATTTTCAGTTTATGACTACAGTCGTTTTTTTCCCTGTAGTCTTCAAATACTTTAGGTATTGCAAATTAAAACTTAATGTACAATTCAGCCATCATTTTTATTTAGTACGGCTAGCCTTCCAGTCAAGGTGTACTTAAGAGGCCCTATTGACCGAAATCTGTTGAGTACACAGGTCTCATTAACTAGTAATTATTCAGGTTTAAAATACATGCACTGTCAGTAAGGCACCTTTTGTTTTCGTCTAAATGCAAAAATACTTTTTAAGGTATTGCAAACTAAAAATTTTATTTACAATTCAGTAGGCCTATTTTTTGTTGTTTGTCAGTCTAGCCATCCTTATTAAAAGTACAGCTAGCCTAGCTGTCTTTAAGTACCGCTAGTCTGCCAGTCTAGCTGAACTATAGTATTTCAGCCTCTAGCATACCAAGTTTTAGTCGAGAGCGAATAAAACAGCTCAGAAATGTTAATTTATAAGTAGAATGATAATCAATTCAATATAAAGCAAAAGTAAAACAGAATGAATGATCTAGAAACAAAGGAATGTCATGTCTTTCGATGGCAAAACATGAAAGTAAAGGGGGGTGTCAGATGCACAGTAAAATATATGAGCACTTCTGTTCATTCGTAATCTTGAGCCTGAGAATAAATGAAACGGCAAATAAAAGTGCTGAAGAATGTCATAGCTTCATTAAATGACTAGGAAAATAGACACCTGCTATGGATGTTGACTTCATACTGGCAATCAGAGCTGGTTGTACTTACGTACAATTTACTTGTACTTACGTTACAATTTTCGGTACTTTTACTGTACTCCGGTACATTTTGAGAACCAGTACTTTTACAGTACTACCGATACTTTTTATAAAAGTACTTTTGAGTACTTTTCAAGTACATTTTGAGTACTTTTGAAGCTTAATGAAAGAATAAGTGCCGACATTTCCGGTCATAATTTACGGAACAAACACCCGGGCGGGCACAGTCGATCAACCAAGAGTTAAAAGTTGAGATAAAAGAACTGCCCGTCGCGTCAAAGATCAGCCACTCTTGTGAAAGTGATCACATGCGCTGTAAAACTCCATGAAACGGTACAATGATCCCCAGACGGGATCACACCGAGGTGTGAACTGACCGATGGGCGTTTCTTTTCCCCAAACATCGCACTCGCATCTGAGCTCGCCATCTGAACTTTCATCCCTCGCTGGGTGGGTTGGGCCTACAAGTTCGCTCCAGGCAGGATCACATTGTGAACTCTTCCCTGACCATTAAAGTTGAAGGCAGTTTTTCTCTATTCCCGATATTGCGAGACAGCCTGAATTTTAATTGGTGTGGTCACAGCGTAATGGTACGTAACGACGAAAGCGGGGGGACTCAATCAGAGATGGAAGGCTACAGATTTTGGACAGGTAAAGGGGAGGGGCAACTGGATAAACGTAGATAAAGATCTCGAGACGATATGCTAATGGGTGTACGGTATAATATTATGGCTTGCCTCATGCCATCATGCTACTGTGATTGGTCATCAAGGATGGCCACTCTTTGCTCGCCATGTGTCATAAACCTACCCAGGGGTCACGTCAGTTCTTGGGTCACTGTAGATTCTTCCTTAGCTTTGTCGGGCTAAGATCCCATATTTCCCTTGCTCCTGAGCACTGGGATCTTAGGCGGAGACTACTGTAGTAGAGAAATTTTGGTTACACTACACTTACTAGACTCTAGGAAATTACATGTAGGCCTATTTTGTTTTGCCGTGGGCGCCGTGGACTACACAGTGTGACCAAACTCTGTCTTACCTCTATTATAATCAATTGAAACTGAAACTGAGTTCTCAATGTATATCAATCTAACAATTTCTTAGGCTACCTAAATTTCTTTTTTCCTTTTTTTGTGGTTTGTGCTTAAGGCTACCTTGATTCCTTCAAGATTTGTTAAAGAAGAATTCAAAGCACTTTTTTTGCTGGCCATTTTCATCAATTTTTTATTTTCTTAGATCAACTTTGTCTCTACATTTTCCAATTTTGATACTTTTCCTACTTTCCGACCTCTTGGACTGACTTACATTTGATCATATTGTCTTGCTCAAACAAATTCTATTCATAATATCACTTACTCACTAGTTGCGTCTGTTTGTTTGCTGGGGTTTTTTTTTCAATTTCACGGACAATTTCCACCTACGTTCAGTGCGTATATTCAAATGCTTTGTATACTGTTTACATTATTAGTAATAAATGGCTGAATTTGTCAAATATACTAGATATGTTATTCAATATGATGTTTTGCATTAGCACTGAAGTGTTTTAGCATATTAGCAGAAAGTACTCAAAATGTACTCATAAGTACTTTTTTAAAAAGTACTTGTACTCAAGTACATTTTACAGGAAAGTACTTTTACTGTACTTAAGTACATATTTAGATTGTACTTAAATTTGTACTTAAATACTTTTTAAAAAGTACTTTAACAGCTCTGCTGGCAATTGACTGGATCATGAAGGAAGCCACCAGAGGCAAGCGCAATGGAATATAGTGGATCCCCTGGCAGAAGCTGGACGACTTGGACTTCGCCAATGACCTTGCACTGCTCTCTCACACACATGGTCAGATGCATGAAAAGACCAAGGAACTCAACAGCCTATCAAGGAGTGTTGGCCTACGTATACACCCGAGCAAGTCGAAAGTAGTGAAGCAAGGAAAAGTGTCAAGCCCTGCTGTGACAGTGGAAGACACTCCCCTAGAAGTGGACTCCTTTACCTACCTTGGAAGTGTCATCGATGGTAGAGGTGGAACTGAGGCAGATGTAAAAGCAAGAACCGCCAAGGCAAGGTCAGCATTCAAGTAATTATCAAAAGTCTGGAAAGCAAGCAACATCTCACTGTGCACCCAGATTCAACTCTTTAATTCCAGTGCCAAGTCTGTGCTCCTCTACGGCTGCGAAACTTGGAAGACAACAAAGACGCTGAATAAAGTCCAGTCTTTCATCAACAGATGAATGAGGAGTAGCCTAAGAATTAAGTGGCAAAATAAAATAAGAAATGAAGAGCTGTGGGAAAGGACAGGACACAAGGATATAGAAGTAGAAATAGGACTAAGAAAGTGGCGTTGGATGGGACACACCTTCAGAAAGCCCTGCGGAAACATCACAAGATTGTCACTTCAATGGAACCCACGGGGAGCACGAGGCAGGGGAGGCCACGGGAAACATGGAGGAGATGCGTGGAAAGGGACATGAGAGAGATGAAGCTCACTTGGTACAAGCTAGGAAGGATGGCCCAGTACAGAGATAAATGGAAGGAGTCTGTATGTTGCCTATACTCTGCCAGGGGTGAAAGGCATTGATGATGATAGATTTTGAGGAGCCCCTTGATGTAAATATTTCAAGCTCCACATAGGATGACCCAAGCTCATGTTTTGGCTTCTACTCTAGCTCAAAACTTAGTTTGCTGAAGTACTAATTTAAAAGTTTGCTGAAGTACTGATTAAAAACAGGAGAGAGAGAGAGAGAGAAAGAGAGGCAGAAGTCTTTTGAAATTTAGGAGGAGGAGATGAATATATGTGTAAAATAGTCCAAGTGCTTTGTTTTTTTAGTGAAGGCGTTACATTTTAATTTTACAATAGGTCTGTGATAATATGCTGCTGAGTATTTACTGCCTGAATCTATCAAGGGAAGAAAAATTCCAGTCCATGCTCTGAAGAAAGGGGTTGTTAGTTGTTTTTTACTCTGACCTGCAAAGTGTGGTTCAAGACTCCACTTCCGTTTGATTAAAAGCTGCCCTATTCCAGTCCTGCATAAAATAAATGTGCGAAACTTTGAAAAATCATATTCCTAGAGTCATATGTAAAGCTATAGATTTGTTGTGGTCTTGTGTTACTTTCACCCTTCTTCTATAGTGTTAGTATTGAAATCTTCTAATGCCACACTTTAGGTCTTTTTTAGAATGATTCGGGCATGTACGGGAAGACAGTTTAGACAATTAAAATGCGACAGTGCAACTGGAAATGAAAGTTTATAAGAAAAATCAGTATATGTTTAAGTCATGTGCTCGTACTGTTTCCTTTGCAGTAAAATATTGACCTTTTGACAATGGATGTATAGCCTACATAGTGGACTGTGCTGTTTATTTTTATAACAAACCACATCTTCTATTTTCTGTTTCATAGATCCCGTCATGTCATGGTTTCCTCAAAAAAGAGAGAGCACCTGGCTTCAGCGTGCCTGTGAGGCTGTGTTGTCTGCTGGTCCCATCCCTCGGCATGTAGCCATCATCATGGATGGTAATCGGCGGTTTGCTGTGAAGAATAGCTTGGCAAAGTCTGAGGGCCATGTGAAAGGGTTTGATAAGCTAGCAGAGGTACTTACATTCTTTTTTAACTGGTTTATTCGATGAAATCTAATATAAGATTGCTGAAACAGATTTAAAACATTATCTACACTAGCATCTGTGGTGTAGCACCCATTGCAGGCAGGAGACCAAGAGTTTGATTCTTGAGAGTGTATGTTTGTGTTCGAATATCACAATTAGCATAGAGAAAAAGTAAAAAGAAAAGAAAGGTGGAATGAGACACTTTCTTTCCAAAGTGCAATAATGCTCACAATACAGTTTATGAAACAAGTACATTTTCAGTAATTCAGTGGAGTCCACTTAAACCAACATCTTCAGGGCAGCTGGATTTTCTTCAGTTTAGCCATGTTTTCGGTTAATAGAGACCACTCAAATACTGAAGAAAAAAAAAGGATTGTGTGTTCAGTTCAAGAAGACTTGACTATACTATGTAGTAATTTTAAGAGCATATAGCCATATGGATACATGTTCAACCGCCACCCCAATTTTATTTGCAGGATGGCACAAAATGTCTTTTATGCAATTTCACAATAAACTGGTTTAGCAGTCTCCACTAGGACCGTTTCTTGCTTCTTGTCTGACAGTGCTGTATTATGTTAACAGTTCTACTATCAATGATATTTGACAAAGTTCATAAAGTTGTGACAAGATGTGCATTAATTACCTCAATCTCACCTTGCTGCCAGCATACATAGAACAGTGCGTGGCAGCTTAATTAATTTCATCAGTATAGAAGGAGGATTGAACAATAATATGCATAGCTACACATCTTTCTTATTTAATAAAACATCTCTTCAAAAGATGATGTATGTCAACCAATGAATAAAGCATTTACCCATCCTTTTTCCCAGTTTCGAAGTCTGTCATCATGTATTTGGCAACTTGGAAACACATTTGTCACTTTTCCCATAAAACTATGAAAGCTACAGAGTTGAAAGTTGGCAAGTACCTGCAAAAAGATAGATAGGTTCCCATGATGGAGCAGGATGTTTTATTTATTAATTTCCTGAATTTAGACAAACATATTTGACAAAAAGTTCCTGTCCTTCTTTGGCCTTTGTGATTATTCCATTGAGAAACGAAACAAATCTGCGTAGCTGTCCTCCACAGCGGAAGTGATATTTCACGAGGCGCATTTTGTTTTGAGAGTATAGTTTTAGACCTTGTAATTTTTTTCATCTCTCAAGGTTTATTGCTCCATTTCAGTAGAGTGTAAATATAGTAGGCCAATGACTTTCAGTTGATGTTAATGCACCGTTCATTTCTTTCATCAAAAGGGGGCCCAGCTAGTGCTGATATAAAACTGAAAATAATTAAATCCTTTTTTCTCTCTCCTTCCTGAAAAATTTTGCTTTCTGAGCTTAGAATTTATAATTGAACAGCTAGCAGATTATGCATGCATATCATTGTATTTGGTGTCTACTTTATAATTTATGCTTTTGATGTTTTAGATTGTTTCTGAATGATATTCTTGTTTATTGGGTGTGCATTGCAGCAGTTGTTTCAGTAACATGCTCAGTTGATTTATGTGTATATTGCAGCAGTTGTTTCAGTAACATGCTCAGTTGATTTATGTGTATATTGCAGCAGTTTTTTCAGTAACATGCTCAGTTGATTTATGTGTATATTGCAGCAGTTGTTTCGGTATGGAATCCTTTTATTGTATGTTATATTGCTGCGGTTATTGCAGTAGGTGCTTCCTCGATATGTGTGTATATATATTGCAGCTATTGTTTCAGTATGGTACTTAGTTGCTCTGTATCTATTGCAGCAGTCATTTCAGCATGGTGCTTTTAAGTTTTTAAGTATATTCTGAGAGTACAAATCATCTTTTTTCTTTTCTTCAGACATTGGAATGGTGCCTCGATCTTGGAATAACTGAGGTTACTGTCTATGCTTTTAGCATTGAGAACTTCAAGCGATCACCTGATGAAGTGAACTGTTTGATGGAGTTGTCCAGACAGAAATTTGCCCGCTTGCTTCAAGAAAAGTAAGAGATTAATGTGTGTTTGCTTTGATAATACAGTAGTCTCCGCCTAAGATCCCGGTGCTCAGGAGCAAGGAAACTGTAGGATCTTAAGCGAACGGGATCTTTACCAACGCACCAAGGGAAGAATCTACGGTGACCCATGTTAAGGCCCACAACCGGTAAAATGGTCTCCTTTCACTGTAAAATGAACTGTCAAGATCCCTGGGTGTGTTTATGACATATATCGAGCAAAGTGTGGTCGACCTTGATGACCAATCACTGTGGCATGAGGCATGTCATTGTCAATTATTAACCTATCCTGAGTCTCGAGATCTACGCTTGACTAGTTGCCCCTCCCCTTTACCTGTCCAAAATTTATAGCTTTCCATCTTTGACTGAGTTCCCCCGCCTTTGTCGTTACGCACCAATTAAAATTCAGTCTGTCTCTCGAATTCGGGAGTAGGGGCAACTGCTGCAATGGTCAGGGAAGAGTTCGCAGTTCGATGTGATCCCATGTGGAACAACTTTTAGGACCTACCCACCCAGCGAGTTATGTAATTTTCGGTAGAGAGCTCAGACGCAAGTGCGATGTTTGGGGAAAAAAGCATCGGTCAGTTCACACCTTAATATGATCCTGTTTTAGGCTACCATTGTACCTTTTCATCGAGTTTTACAACGCTTATTGTGCTCACATTCTCAAGAGTGGCTGATCTTTGACGTGACAGGCAGTTCAATGATCTGAACTTTTCACGCTTGGTTGATCAGCTATGCTCGCGCGGGGGGTTATTCCATAAATTATGATCTGAAATGCGGGATCTTAGCCGAATGTAGACCTTTAAAATGAGTCAAAGTGGGATCGTAGGGGTGACTTTTATGCAATAAAAATTCTGTTTTCTTAAAACAGCGGGATTTTAGGCGACCCGGGATTGTACGCGATGGGATCTTAGGCTGTATTATGTGCTATGCTATGTTTCTTTTTGCTCCTTGACTGTATTTCTAGCAATACTTACATAGATTGTATTTAGTTTGCACTCTCATAATGAAATTTCAGTGCAGTTAAGTTTTTTTAAAATTGGTGTATATATATATATATAAAATAGTCATTGTATGTTTGTGAATAAAAATAGAATTGGTCATACTGTAATTACATTTTTTTTCTCGTTTTGACACATTTGTGAATTACACAAGACTTTGGAACTGTAAATGGTTGCTTGTGTTCTGTCTTTATTATAAAGTCTAATTAAATATGGAATTTACTCATGTTGAGCATCTTTGTGCCCCGAAATGTTTTGGGTGCTCACGGATGAAAATCTGTGGTTGTTGCCCATTCTGAGAGATCATATAATTGACACTGCCATTAGCAATTAGCTTCTGGTGTCTTATCGCTGTATATCAAGTCATTTTTAATTAGGGATGTCCAGAAAGTAAGTACCTTTTTAGAAAAATTATAAAAGAAATAATTTTCCCAATCAAAACGATTCATTTTTCAATACTTCATATATATGACTACTTCTCCACGTAGTCACCAGAACTGTTGAGGCATTTGTCGTAGCGTGGGACGAGCTTCTGAATGCCCTCATCATGGAAAGCTGCCGCCTGCAATGTCAGCCAATGTTCAGTCTCTCCTGTCAGACCAACATCTGAGTCGGAGTCCTTCCCGGCCAAAAATTTTTCAAATGCAGGAACAGATGAAAGTCACTCGGAGCCAGGTCTGGGCTGTACAATGCTTCAACTGTTCCCTTCTGAAGGAGGCGATCAGGTTTTGGGTCTGTGCAGACTTATGAGGAGCTGCATTGTCGTGAAGCGGAACAACGCCGTCGCTAAGCATTCAGGGTCTTTTGTTTTGAATAGCTCTACGTAGTTTTTTAAGTGTGTTGCAGTACACATCAAAGTTAATTGTCATCCCATTTCCAAATTGTACTAAAAGTACTACTTGCCTGTCCCAAATCACTGTACACATGACTTTTTTTCCTGACGCGGCCTGCGTAGAGCGATTCAAACCAAAGACGCGGAATGCTTAGCAACGGTGTTGTTCTGCTTCACGACAATGCAATTCCTCACAAGTCTGCATAGACCCAAATCCTGATCGCCTCCTTCGGATGGGAACAGTTGAAGCACCCATCATACAGCACAGACCTGGCTCTGAGTGACTTTCATCTGTTCCTGCATTTGAAAAAGTTTTTGGGCGGGAAGGACTCCGACTCAGACGCTTGTCTAGACAGGAGAGACTGGACATTGGCTGACATCGCAGGTGGCAGCTTTCTACGATGAGGGCATTCAGAAGCTCATCCCACGCTACGACAAATGCCTCAACAGATCTGGTGACTATGTGGAGAGATAGTCATATATAGGAGGTATTAAAAAATAAATCGTTTTGATTGGGAAAATTATTTCTTTTTTAATTATTATAAAACAGTACTTACTTTCTGGACATCCCTCGTCTATAACTCGAATGCCGGTTGCTTGTGGTTGGTCAGTGCTCTGGTGTCGCCTAATCCTGCTTCTTTTATCTTGACCATTCAGTTTACATGTACCGAAACTCTGTAAATTGTCGTAATCCATTAAATAACTTGATAATGTTGATAACTCAGTGTGAAACCTGAACACACACTGATCACTGTGTGTTACTTGAAAATGCATCAGTGACATTTAGTTTGGCTTGTTTTGCCTTTTGTTTAGTAAAAAGTTAATGTGTCTCTCTCTTTTTTTTTTCATTCTCTCTCTCCAAAGAGACCTGATTCATCAACATGGTGTTTGTGTGAGGATTCTAGGTGACATTTCCAGATTGCCCAGTGATCTGCAGGAACTGCTTGCAGAAGCTGTCTCCATTTCAGCCAACAATAAAAGGCATGTGCTACTATTCGGAATCATCACAGGCTTAAGGGCCTGGGGATTTAGTTTTAGTAAATGAAAACTATCTTTCTCTTTAACTCTTAAGTGATCGCTATAGCTTGTTCACATTCATCTGACTTTGTTAAAAGAAATTCTAGCTCATTTATTAATTCATGTATGCTCACGAAACTTTGCATGGCACAACTAAAATAAATGACTTACAGTAACCTTGCCTCCAAATTGCTCATTATGAGATAGCAACACCACCCTGACCCCTCATTTCAGTATTACCTTTTCAATTTCATCCCCCCCCCCCCCACCCCCGTCTCCACGGGCTCCCCATGAGTCTCAAAAATTACTCACCCCGTATCTTAAATCATTTTTCTTAGGCATATGTTAGAGTGTGGTGTTGAGGAAAATATGTCAACTTTTTCTGTTTGAGGTGTATACTTTTTATCCCCTATTATTTTTTGGCACCTGCTTTAGGCTTACATAAAAGAAAATGTGTGAGAATGTTTTTTTTGCAGTGACCTTTACAAACGAGCTCTTTCTGTCCATGTGGTTTTATGCCCCTGCATAATTTAGGGCAAAATTTGATCATTTTTGCATAATTTCTCTTTATTTTCCTTCGTCGTTCTTTGATCAAATTAACAGAATCGCATAATTTCACATTTTTGGGCTCAGTTTGCATAATTTCATAATTTTTCTTGCATGAAATGATGGGGACAGGCTTTTAGATTCTGTTGGTCATCCAACTTTTAGACCCGTATACAGAGATCTGAGAAGATTAAACGGAACGATTTCATTTTATCTTGTGTTAACCACAGTCAGACGAAAGTGAACAAGCTATAGAATGTGAAGCTTTTGTTGATGCTTTCATGGGAAATCAGTGCCCTGTGAATTAGTGACATTTATTTAGTGTGAAAAATAATAATTGTATTTTCCTTTTTAACAAAGATCCACATGCGGTGGAACTCGGATTCAACAAGATGAGATAGATTCCCCCTTTTTTTTTCTTCTTTACAATCAATAAAAATAACCCGGATTCAACGAGCACTTAAATCAGAGAGCTCGGATTCAACAGGGTCGCTTCCAGGGTCAACAGCCCCCGCAGACGTGGCTTCGCTCATTTTTCTCTCAGAACGAACTTCATCTATTCCCGGAAACCATCCATTGCACCTGCATCGTGAACCATTATTCGCTTAGCCGATTCCATGCGACCAATCAGCGGCCTTTTTTCATACCAACACATGCGTTGTCGGCACACGCATGTGTCTACTCTGGGGTGTGTCAGGGTCGGGTGGGTGGCCTGCACACATGTGGCTGTGTGTGCGTGTCGGGGTAGGGAGGGGGGCACTAGCGGTCCGGGCGTTGAACGTCGCACAAATGCGTCAGTCTTTTTTCCCCTCGGCAACTGATCATTGTTACAATGATAAGCTAGTCTTGACGTACATCTACGTAATGAATTGTGCATTGGTCTATGGAATCAAAAGTTGCCGTATGCTACGCTCTACACTACACAGCAACACAACTTTTTGGTAAACAATCGAGATGACACAGGCGTGTGCATTTGAACTAATCGGTCTTTTTTTTTTTACACAGCTCATAATATGCAGTCATTCCAAGCACTACTTGTGACTTCTCTTTATACATTACTTTCTCAATGCCTGTAATTATCTACACAAAACCTCATGTTTGCTATAACGAACACTCGGATTCAAGGAGATTTTAGGTCAGGCCCAGCGTCCTCGTTAAATCCAAGTTCCACCGTACTTGTCATTGGGTTAGAGAGTTTTGTTGATTTAAAGGCCCGGTTACACGTAACGATAAATTGTACAAAAACTGGATGATCTAGCGATCATACGATAAATCGTCAAGTGTAACCACAAAGTTGTACAAAATTTGGATGATTGAACGATGGTTTAGAGACACAGTCGAGAAATCAAGGGCTGCTTGATATTTTCCGTGCGATCACGGTCACACTTGAGGGAGACGCGCTGTGACGTAGATTCACTTTGAAATTTGCCGCCGCGCAGAATTAAACTCAGTACTCAAAACTTTTTAAATAATTATCGTAGATAAAAACTGACTTCATGTTCGGAATCAGCGTCTCAAAATAAGCAACGTTGCTTGCGAAGAACCTGATTTGGTGTGTTGTTATATATATTTTTGCAATTTTATTATTTAGTTGATCGTCAAGGCGGAACCTGTGCATCAAGGTCACTCGGTGCGTTGCACAACTGCAGTCAAGTCATAGCTTCCGGTTCTACACACACACAACACGGTAGGCCTACAGTATGGCCACCCTTTTCTAAAGACCCTGTTCTGTTGTGTCAAAATGTACATGGGAAGGGGGGGGGGGTCTGTGATCTAGAGGTAGTGTTCGCCTTTCATTCATTAGGTACAGAGCTCGAAACCTTCACATACAGAAGAGGCAAATTGCTGTCGTCGCAAAGAGACATGATGGCTTTATGACGAGGAATCTCCTCAATCGATTGAAAACTGGACGATAGATTGGAATGTGTAAACAGACAATACAGTTCGATAAAACGGACAGTTCTCTCATACAACGAATCTGATACAATTTATCGTTGCGTGTAACCGGGGCTTAAGTGATGTGGTTTGAGCATACTGTAAGATTACTCACAATCTGGATTTTAAAATTTTTCATTTCCAGTGCAGATAGGATTCCCAATTTTCAAGGAGCCCAATGAATGACAACTATTCTCAGCTCCATTATAAAAATGCAAATAAACAAAACGTATAGAGATACAGTATAACACGGATAGCTCGAATTTGTCAGGACCGGCCTTGGTAGTTCGAGGGATATCTTGCAAAGATCAAGAAGAGAAAAAACAGGACTGCAGGCACAGTTGGACAAATGCACGAGACAGATGCATGATTTTGAGTCTTCTGTGTTCGACCTATCCATGTTATACTGTAATAATTTTTGTGTGTGTGTGTAACTTTAGGAGAATTAGCAGCTAAAGACTGTAGTGATAAAATTATTCCTAGTGTGTTCTGAGACTTGAATATTAGATACAATTTTTGTTTGCCTGTATTACATTGTTTATTGCTTCTACTTGTAGGGCAATTCTTAATGTGTGTTTCGCGTACACGGCCAGAGATGATATGTGCATGGCAATGAGAGATGTGGCCGATGGAGTGAAAAAAGGACTCATTAAGAAAAGGTATGTTTGCCGCTCATTAACGTCTCATTAATCATTATAGCTTAAGGGAGACTGCTGAGACAGTACAACTTTTTTATGTACAGCCTAAGTGATTTTGAGTGATTTCATGTTGGGAGAAATTATAGCTGAGACAAATCCTGTTCCATTTTAAAAATAAAGATTTCTCATAAGCATAATTATTGGTCTACAGACAAATCTCCTGAAATGAAGAGTACCAAAACAAAAAGTTCCAAGCAAGCATGAAACAGTTTCCAAGAGATTGAAAAAATATAACTTTTGAAAACCACTCCCCTAGAAAGTTAACTTATTGAGAAAATCAGAAAAATCACTAGTATGACTAGCAGGGGTTTTCTTGATGCAAGCGCCAGTACCGAACAGAATGCGTCGTTAAGGGATAATTTTGCATCAGGTGTTAGGAATTTGAAGACCTTTAGCTTGTTCCGTAGTCCTATTTTAATACTTTTATCTAATCATTTTTATTGTGAGGTTGGGACCTATTTGAATGTGTTGAGAACATATTTTTCCATTTGATGATAAAACAAATTGGAAAGTCGATATTTTACTGACACCGCACAGTCCGGGCATTGAACAGAATGGGACTGACGTGGTGCTAGTGTGTCATAGGAGGCGAGTAAATGGCGAAACCAGGTAGTGACTCCCGAAACAGAGTCATCCTCCCTCCAGGTCGGGGGTTGAGTCACGAGGCTAACAACCTCTCTCGTAAAAAGAACTTGTTACAGAAACACATACAAGCAAAACCATTATAAATCTCTGCTTGGCTGGTCATGGATTTTCTCGGAACGGAGAGTTTATGATGCGAAGTAGTGATGTGGAAAGGGACATGAGAGAGGTGAAGCTCACTTGGAAGGAGCTAGGAAGGATGGCCCAGGATAGACAGAAATGGAAGGAGCTTGTATGTGGCCTATACCCTGCCAGGGATGAAAGGCATTGATGATGATGATATTTTACTGCCAACTCTACCATTTGAGTGTATACCGAAAGCTGTGTCTCCCCATAGGAGCTTGGCACTGCACCGCATGTTGTCATTCAAATTGTTTATGTAGTGTGTTATGATTTGAAATTATTTATGCTGAGTGGATTTATTATCATGTGCAAATAATTAATTGTAAAAGTCATTTCCTGACAAAGATGTATAAAGTTGGTTGGTTTGGGGATTTTTTCAGCAGCAAAATTGTTTACAACTCCATGTGACATTCAGAATTTATTTGTACTTAAGCGCTCAATGTTAAAAACAATCAGGAAACAACAAATGCAGTTTTTGGGACACCTGAATAGACAGAAGGGTCTTGAACATCTAGCTCTCACTGGAAAAATTGAGGGCAAGCGAGGCAGGGGTAGGCCCACAACGACATACTTAGGGAACCTAAACAAATGGGTAACGGGGAAAGATCATGGAAACGTGCTTTTTTGAGAGCATCCGAGCAAAGGAAGGAATGGAAAACAATGGTCGCCGATGTCTGTCGCAGATCTGGCACTGGATGATGATAATGATGAAGTGCACAAAATATGGAAAGGTGCCCTTTTGTAAAATTTTATTCGTATGAGACCGTGCAAATTGGATTGTGTTTTGTCAAGCTTTTATTCTTAATTCTTTGTCTTGTCCTCCTTTAGAAATATTATGTTCATCTTATTGATTTTTTCCTTCTTTTCCATCTTTTCATTTTTCAGCGACATCTCAGAGTATCTGTTTGAGAAGTGTCTCTACACATCTCATTGTCGGGATGTGGATCTTTTGATCCGCACATCAGGGGAAATACGACTGAGCGACTTCCTAATGTGGGAGGTGAGACATGACGTGGATTTCATTCACTCTCCACTTCCTCGCATCAGATCTGTTTTTTGAAGGGCAGCTAGCCTCCAAAGAACAACAAATTAATTATTTTTTCCCATACCAGTAAAGTCTAACCTCAATATATACTAATGCAGCTTGTACATGTAATTTTCAATTTGATTGTGCGCGCTTTTGAATTCTGATGCTTTTTTCAGTTAACAACTGATGATCATCGACTATAGAAAAAGAAATTTTGTTATGTGTGTTCTTGGTAGTATGAGTAGTTGTAAGTAGTAAAGGCTTGTCTTGTTTTTGTCTACAAAATACATTAACGTTTTTTTGTCAAAAGTACTATATTTTTTATTTTGTAGAAGGTAGATTCTCAGGCAGATTTAGTCTTCATTGTGTGTGTGAAACATTCTCGGTCCTTTGATGATTTTGCTGTTCCTGCTATCCTACTGTTCACAGGATGAGTGAATTATCGTTAAAACCTCTGCCCAGTCACGATCAAAAGTGTGGGTTGTTGGTAGGTGCTCTAATGGAATCAGCTTCTTGTGCTTCTTTTCAGTGGTGCTCCTCTTTTAACAAACATCTAACATACAGTAGTCTCCGCCTAAACGCTCGCCATACAAAAGCACGCTCCGCTCAAACGCACGCTTCCGTCATCTGATGGTTTTTTTACTATATAATTTAGACGTACAAACGCACAGTCACTCTCTCTAAACGCACACTCCAATCCGCGAGACACGCCGACAAGATAAGCTTGGCAAGGGGGAATTTTCACAACCTGCACAGCCTGCATAAGACAAGCTTTGAATTTACTAGAAAACCGGATATTTGGTGAGAGTGCCCCTCACGCCGGACATAGAGAGTGATGGACAGCGTTTTCACACCCAACTTTCCACTGACACACAGGTATCGGTCTAGGGCTGGTTGGTTAAATGTTGGGGGGGGGGGGGACTGATTGGTCACTGGAAATGTATCTTTGAGAGAAGGTTTCAGACTGGTGTTTAGGCGACTGCGTGTAATGTTTAGTTAGATCTAGGCCTGATGCGCGACACGCGTAAATCCCGTAAAACCCTAGACAGGCCTCTATAGGTTTAAAGATTAGTCAAGTAAGCCTAATAAGCTGCGCTCGAAGAACTTATAACGTATTTGTTCAACGAATCACAAGAGAAAATGTTTCTCTGAACGTAGAGAATGATTCTGCATGAATTTATGGTCGTGGGTGGCCGCTTGGAAAGCCATATGGCTGGTCCGGGGTCTCAATGACTATGACCAACAGTTTTCTCTTAGGCTATCTGTTTCCGACGTTTGTAGTGCATATTCATTACATTGAGTCTGTCTCCCCCCCCCCCCCTCAACACTTTTGTATTCTTAACCTCTGTCGCGGAATCCTTCACAAAACAGTCACGTGTGTCGTCACATTATCTGCCAAAATGACCCCCTCCTCCAAGGGAGGACACTAGAGTAATAAGGAATTGAGATGACTGCGTCCCTTCCTCCCCTTACAAAGGTTCATGCAAACACACGCTCCGTATAAACACACGCAAAGGAGCCCTCCCGAGCACCGTGCGTTTAGGCGGAGACTACTGTACTTACTCTCCTCCTTCATTTTTGTGTTTGTTACTCTCTTGTGACACTTCTTTTTTTTCGGCACTGGTATGGCCTAATTGTGTCACAAGTGCTGTAAAACTCACACTAAAATTTATTTATAAAAAAAAAAAGTGAAATGTGGCTTGTATATTGTGCCCAATCAGCATAAGCCTGAAACTCAAACAACAAAATTCTGAGGCACTGAGTATTCGCATTTTTCATATGTTGACGTGCCCTGTTCGATTGTAAATGTTTTACTATGGGGTGGAATCAGGCGCTCATCAATTTTTGGGCATGTGGAGTTATTGGTATCATCTTAAGGCTTGTTCATTTGTTTTTCTTTAAGTGAAAACAACTACTCATTTATCAAAAAACTACCCATCTATCTAGAAAAGAATTCGGGATATTTGTGGTAGAAAGCTCGGGTGGCCTGGTTTCAGAGGTAAAATTAGTGAGAAAATGGCCGCCAAAGTCTAGTGACTTCATAAGCTCAAAGGTCTTTGAAAACATCAAATTCATATTTTTTTGTGCCTTTAATCAAAGTTTCTCAGTAAAATACATACAGAAATGTGTGCTTATATTGGCACAAAAGGTGTTGAGCCAAAAAACAAAAAATCTATAAAAATTGCCAAACAGATGGGAAAATGCTGGTTTCTTGGATTTTATTTATTTTGATGAGCGCCTGATTTCACCATGATGCCTCATAAGTAATATATGCCCTCATTGGCGCAGGTTAGGTAATTTAGGAGGCAGGCTGCCTAATTAGAGTGGAATGCAGTATCTCAGCAAAAGAAAGGTGTTTCTTGTACAGTCCCTCATTGCACTCATTGTGCCAACTACGTATGTAATATGATCTGTTTCTACACAGTTTGAGTACCAACTAATTGATAGTTAGTGTTTGCCGTTTTCCAATAACACAAGTTTTAATTATGAATGTCTGTAATATTTCTTTCAGAGTTCATTTTCCTGCCTGGCTTTCGTCAAGGTTCTGTGGCCTGACTTCAGTATCTGGCACCTGTATGCTGCTATTCTTCACTATCAGAGAAACCATGGAAAGATCCAGGTTGGCTTATATGTCGAAAATGTAATGTTAGTGTAAAGGTAGGCTGCTTGCCACTCATACCACAGAGCCTGTTTCAGTTCCTGGTGCCTGCAAGTGTTGTCAGAGAAAAACTTTGGGTTTTTGTTTTTTTCCAATTTGTTCATGCCCTTATTCTTAATTACAATGAAGGTTTAAGTTTAAGTAGTTCGTCTTTTTTAATATGGATGAAAGATCCAAAAGCCCAGTGTGTTAACAGGCTACATCAAAAGAAAGGCAGGGGAAGGTTGAATACTTTTGCCTGTTACGGGAAACTTCATGCATATATATATATATATAATATATATGACTGAAAGGGGAAGAACACTGTGTTCTAGTAGTAGTAGTGGTAAGGAGATAGGCCTTGTGTAGGATACATAAATATCAGACGCCCTGAAGATTTACCTTTCTCAACCTTTACTGATGGCTGCTAAGGATCCTATGCTGCTGGTCAGTGCTGATCAACTTTAAGGTTTTTATTTCTACATCTTAGAAACAGGCTTCTGCTTACTGCAGATCAGAGTCATGTTTTCTGGAGTCCTGGAATAACGGAAAGTTGCCAGAATTTAGTGTGTACAGAAATAAAATGTGGAATAGAAGGAAATAAATAAAGATACATATACTATTGTAAAATAGTGCAGAATTTCTTTGAGGATGATTGTATTTGGGAAGTGGAAGATGCTCACTGTGCCTGCTGTTGTAATCTGTCCAAGACTTGCCTTTGATTATATCCTTTTGGGGTTGGACACACTCACACTACAACTCTACTCAGCATGAATAAGAACCACTTTGTACTAGATGGCAGCTCCCTCTACACTGGCATTAACCATTTTGAATCTTTCAACGGTTCGGTCTGTGTTGGCTTATTTTTTTGTATCTCATTATTCATAAAGTCAACTTCAATGTGAGGGCACTGCTGGCTCAGGTAGTACCTTACTGGGCAGTGATGTGCAAGGCCTTGTTTAAATCCACCATGGGACTTTCTTTCTTAAGTTAAGTTAATTTTTTAAAGTTTCTCCTCCTACTAGGCTTGGTCCAATCAAAATCAGAGGTACCGTCTTCCCCCATCCCTACCCTTGCATATAACTTTACAGCCTTAATAGAATAGGGAGAGTTGCAATTTTTAACTTTTCTTCCACCCTTCCTTTTTTTTAATTGTATTTTTTTTGGTTAGTTTTACCCCCAATATTAAATGCCACATACACACACACACACATACACTCACACTCACACCCCGCCCTCAAACCACTTCCTTTTTTTCTTTTTTTTTTCATTGCCTTCCTTTTTTTTTTTTTTTTTTTCTTGCTATATTCAGCTGGTTATGGAATCTCCTTCCCCAGATCGCCAGACAAAATAATGCTATTGAAAGACAACGGCTGCAACGGGAGTCTGACCTCAAATGTGTAATGGAGGAGGAGGAGGAAGATAAATCTGGCGTGAACACCAAAGACAATCCAGCAGGCTCGTCCGGCAAGGACTCCCCGAGTGGTGTAGCAGAGCAGAAAAATGTCCAGTCTCGTGTTCAGCATTACAAAGAAGTACGTGAGAAGCGAGTGGAAGAGTTCCTCCGGACTGTGCACTCGAAGAGAAAGCAGTTCTGGACGTCCCTTGCTCTCTCTCCATCTGATGTGACCTTAAAACCAAGCCAAAGTGTTTCTGTTTGTTGATGTTGATATACATAGAGTCTGTAAGGTTTGATTGAATGAGCTGAGTGTTTGAGGTAAATCTGTTAAAAGTGACGTTGTGGGAGAGTATAAATATATATGTATTATTATATTCTGTATGGTATAAAACGTACTAAACAGAAGACTGTCGAAAATTAAAATTGACAGAGGATTTTGCAATAAACTGCACAACAAATTTGCGAGAGAAAAAATTGTTTTAGTGGGATTTCTTTCCTGTCATAGCATTTTCTTTTTGTAGTCATCTGTGATAAAGTGATTTTTTTTGTTTTAGTAAGGTTTTACGGCGCTCGCAACTGCATAAGGTGATATGAGTGCCAAGGGGTGGATGTCATCAGAGAAGTCCAAACGGGGAATGAGGCTTACACTGCTCATCTCTCTAGCCTCAACAGCACAAAGTTTGCTTTGACTATCAAGGCACCCCGGAAATAGCAGTTCACAAGAGAGTGACAAACATACAAAAGAAGTAGAGGTAAAATGACAATAGAAAGGATGAAAGAAAAAGCGGCAGTTCCCCCTGTGTTGTTCCGGCACAGTATGAGCATGACTTTGATTTTTTTTTTAAACAACCATTGCATAAGAACATGTATCCCCCCCCCAAGGAATGGCCTAAAGAAAGTGATTTACCAACGTGGTTAGTGTCTAAAGGAGATATTACATGTACATGTACAGGTGGAATTGACAATTTTCTGCCAAATTTTGACCTTCAGTCTCCTAAGACTGGTTTTCTATTACCCACCAAAACTAAAATCTAAATACAGTCAAACCTGTGTTAAACGGCCACCCATTGTCAAGGAGAAAGGTGGCCGTCTTCTTAGGCAGTACTGGTCAAAATGAAGAAATCAAATCATTCTCTTCTGATGTCCAAACCAGGCCTGTTCTTAGACTAATGAGCAGGCTAATTCAAAAGGGTTTTTGTTTTCTTTGGAAAAAGGGGGGTGGGTGGAGTAAGAAGAGTTTTTAGTGTTGTTTTGTTGATTGTTTTTTTTTTGGCAAGCTTCCTTTTTGTTGCTGATTTTGTGCACGAAATATGCAATAGGACGATGAAGACCGGGTGTGGGTGGTTGGCGGGTGCTCTGGTGTGGTTTGCTTCTTCTTTCCTATCAAACATCTGTCGTCCTTATGTCCCCTTCTTTTTTATGTATGGTTACTCTCTTCTAACACCTCTAATCTCCTGGCGCTCATATGACCTTATGCTGTTGAGAGCGCCGAAAAACCTCTACTAAAGCTAAAGAAGACCAAGGACGATGGTAAAACAAACACACGGGTCGCCACCACTTGGAAAACGAGCGGCGCTTCTGCGCAAATTCACGTCAACGTCCATTGTTACTTTGTTACAGATTAGGTAAAAAAAACAGTGACCAGTCATCTCACATACCGGTACGATTTGTGCACGAGTTGTGGGTTGGGCTTATAAGTTGCACCAACAGTTAAAAATAATTTGATTGTTCTGCACACCCATTGGTCAACTTGGGTAAACATTAACTGGACTGACTAACTATAAGGACAGGTGAATGAATTATGACAGCCCATCCACAGCGTGAGGAGCCGATTCAAAATTTATGACGAACCGTCGGGCAATGAGTGACCACACCAGGCCGCCAGAGGCAGGTAAATTTGACAGTGGGTTGATAAAATCAGGTGGCCGCGGACGCGTTGGACAGGTGACAGTTTTACAGTTAAAAGAAAAACGTAAGAGGGGAAATGGTAAGTGGCCGTCATGGCAGGTTCGACTGTACATATACATGTAATATTCTATCTTGTTCTCAAGGGAATTAAACTATTTATTCACATTTAATTTTTCAAATGCGTCTTCTCTCAACAATTCTTTGCTGTAATCTTGTGTGGCATCAGTAGTGGTCTAGTGGTTAGGCTGTTGAGCTTGCAACGAAAAAGTTGTGGGTTCGAACCCTATCAGGGACCCAACGTTGTGTTGAGAATGGGTACCTGGCTATAGATTATGATAGTGAAAGATTTTATCAGTTTTGGTAGTTTTTGGGCTTTTGATTGGTTCCAGTGGGTGGTTGACGGGTGCTCTGGTGTGGTTTGTTCCCTCTTTCCTATCAAACATCTACATGTATCATATTTATCTCCCCTCCTTTTTTGTGCCATAAAACTCTTACTAAAACAAATTGGCTGCTTGAGAAACTGACTCGCTGATTTTTCGACCCATGATACCCTGATGCAAATTAAAAAATCATAAGACCTACAAGAACAGCACCATGAGGAAAAAAATGGAATAACAATAGCGACTAACATAACTTACTTGTGATACATTCATTGTAAGAATATTCACCACTGACAATTAGAAAATATATAATTGCTTAAGTTTTAATATCGCATTAAATCGGGTTCCTTGAGAGCTATTTTGGTTATTTAAATGTGCTGAATCTGAAAATAACAACAAAATCACTTTTTAAGCTGCCATAATTATTTAAAAAATTTTCCCCCTTAACTTTTAAGAGATTCTGCATCCCACCTCACCTCTCTCTATAGATAATGTCTGACCTAAAAGATACAGTCCGTGCCGGCTTTAAGCACGTTTCAGACTCAAGCATGCTAAACGGCTCTTACTGAATTTTTGCTGTATAAATTACACGGTAACTTCGGCTTCAAGCACGCTTCATTTACAAGACAGTCAATATTTTCATGATGACCCATCGAAGTTCGAACACAGTCTACACCGCAGCATAGGAGTGTGTTAAGAGAAACACAAAGAACGCAAGTGATGGACACACACACTCACGCGGGCGGAGAGGAAGGCAGATGCAAACAGTCGCGCGCGCGGACATAGGATCTAGCCTAGGCCTAGGGCAAAGCTACACACGACCAAAAAAAATACAGAGTCGGGGAGACGAGAAAGGGAGGCTGGCTGCGATTTCACCTTTGACCCTCGCTATCAATTAATCCTGATTGTGTATCACGCGCGAGGTGGGATGAAGGCGGTGGTATGAGTGGCACAGCGGGCAGTGGTATGCACAGGCAGTGTGTAGGCCTTTTGTGCTGTATCTGTATCGTGACTGGCCGTCTAAATTAAGTTTTCATTTCCCATTCGACCACAAAACAAAAACAAACAAGCAAACAAACAAAAACTACAATGACGGGTGTCTAAATAACAGTGCACACTTTTGCGGGACCGCTATAGGCCTACTTACAAACAAAGGGAAAAAAGAACAAGAAATTTTCTACATGAAAATCTCTGGATTATGTCTACTTAGGACTCAAGCACGCTTCGGCTTTAAGCGCGCTTAAGCTTTCTCCCGACGACCGTGCTTAAAGCCGGCATGGACTGTACTTAAATGACATTTTTTAAGAAAATCATACAGCACTTAATTTCACAACCAAGCCAAAAGTCTATCCTCCAATGGCACAATTTTTATGCAATTTGGCGGTTAAACACAACAAAAATTTTTTATACGAACGATGTATTGTCCAACTTCGGTACAATTTACCATTACGTGTAAGCAGGCCTTTACTGAAGATTTCTGTTGATTTCTTATTACACAGTGAGACCCTGGGAATGTCAAGACTTGGACACAAAAACGGAAGATATGAACTCTGGCCACATTTATTCTATCCTCGTTAGCTGCCCTTGATGATGTCAGAAAGTCGAAGACAGAAAATCTACAATCAAGACAAAATATAGTAAATTTTCCCCTTGCATTTTGTGGTCTTCAAACAAGACTTTTATTTGAACATACAAAAATACAATACATGAAAAAAAACAGCCCACAGTTTGATTTCACTTATTTATTCAAAATCAAAGCTAGCTCAAGCATCATGGAAACAATTTCAGGATTACACAATATATGTGTGTATATTGCACCAGTTAAAAGTAATTTAGGATCAATGAACTTGATAGTACAGACAGGTAAAGTAATGGATTTCAAACTGCCAAAATTTGGTAATACGAAAATATGTCAAGTAAATTTGACACACTGAAACACAGTAGATGACTTGTATCTAAAGAATAATTCAGGCAGTAGTCACACAGACCACGTAACGTCCTTGCAGAAGGGAAAGCCCGCCGTCTAAAGTATTTCAGCACAAGAAAAGACTGTCAATGTGAGTCTGAGCAGAACATGTTATTGTTATCTACGAGATTGGGGTGTGTATGGTATTCATTTTAGATAGATATTATTTTATTAACAGCTAAGAAATTCATGAAGTAGGTAATTTCATAAAAACTGCTTGATATTACTTCTTCAACTGGCTTCACAACGTCTGTCCAGGACTTCAAATGACGGTCCTCGATGAAAAGGGCCGGATAAATCACTGAACATAAAAGCCCTTTGAAAACAGGATCCCGGAATGCATGCTTACATTTACAGTCGGGCACAGATGACACAATCACAGAAAACTCAGACAGTTTGTCATTCCTTGACTGATAGCTGAATTATAATGAATGTGTGGAACACATTTGTCAATTCCAAACGTGTTTGAATTATCTGTGCCCATGCAGAAACCAAGAGTCAAGAAATAAAAGGGGAAAGTGTAAAAATAGGACTAATCCATGACAGGAGATAACATTGACCAACAGCGCTGTAGAAAAAAAGCTTAACAGATCACAACCATGTGAACATGATGGCAAAGCCTTCTTACACTCTACAAAAGCCTTACTACTACTATCCAACAAAACTAAAACCATTTAGAGAAGAAAGACAATCATAAATCTGTACTCTTGAAGAGACAATGGATGGTTCTAACAAAGAATGACATGAGAGGGCAAGCTTATCAAGCCTAACAGAATGTACTAAGCCCGCATGATGTACAGAGAGTCAGAGAGTTCTCAAACTCAAATCTTTCGTCCTGATTCCTTCCCTTCAGGGTCCCCACAAAGTCAAAGCATTTTTTGGCATAGCAACTTTTCCAAGCCCAAACATGACTAGGCCTACTGTGCTTCAGTTTTTATGACAATCTTGTCAATAACGGAAGCAATTCCACAATATTCTGAGTCTTCATTCCCTAAATAACTAAACTCACCATCGAGCCATTCTACAAACCCAACAGGTTCCCCACAAAAACAGAATGCTCTTAACATTCATTTGGAAACATTTAATTTACACATTTTTACACATCAAGTACACACAAGCACACATTCATTCCCAACCTCTCGTACTTCTTCACAGCTGAATAAATGCTTACTCAAGGGACACGCAGAATGTGACAGCTTTTAACAACTTTCAAGTACCAGTATCTAATATTCTGAGAGGGTAGCAAAGTTAATGCAGTGGTCTTCGGCTAATCACACATGACAAAAGCATGCTACCTTACTTAAAGTACCTACTAACAGCAGGAAACCAACATTTTCCAAGTATAAATATCACTACATGTAAGTACATATTCCAAATCCATAACTCGCTCTAAGAGCATGATTGCTCCTGCTCTAGGGTCCGGAACAGATCAGCCATAAAATGATACCCATAAACAGACACAACACTAACAAGACGTAAAAAGGCATCGAAAATATTAGACTGAAATAAAATTTGTGAACTGATGACAGGCTTAAAAACTTAGAATATTATTTTGCTCCTTGAAATACTGATATCTTTTTAAAATTTATCACAAATGTTGTATTCACTCTTTCAACAGACATGTTTTTAAAAGCTATCAACAAGAAACCATGTGGAAGACTCGGACAGATGAACATTTTGGGGAATTTTAGTTTTAATAGCAAGAGTTTTACGGCACTTGCAACACAATACGGTCATATAAGTGCCGAAGATTAGAGGTCTTACAAGAGAGAAACAAACACAAAAAAGAAAGAGGAGAGATAAGGACGATAGATCATGTTTGATAGGAAAGAAGAAGCAAACCACACCAGAGCACCTGCAAACTACCCACATTTTGGGGAATAAAAATTCAACAATTCAGTTATTCACAAACACAGACCTAAGTTCCAGGGCAATAAACATTTTAAATGACCTATTAAAAAACCCAGTTTAAGAGTTCATCTATCCAAAAACCAGAATCATCATTCACCACGTGATTTCAGCATAATGGCGACTTAATGATGGTCTCTCTTTAAATTATCTTTTTGGGGGGGGTATAAATGAGAGACCATAATATGCACTTTAATCTTTATGCCTATTCATAAAAACTTCCAATTTTCTTAACTGAAAAGACCAACTTCTAATGCTATTTCAAAGATAATCCTCTGCTATGGGATCTTTTTGCCAAACAATAACCCTACCCAAATGAGAAAGTATATGCTGTTGTTAACAAAACATGAATTATTGATGTGTTTTAATCAGAATAACTACTATGGACAGAAAACTATAAACTGCCAGTGCAAGGTTAACAGAAGACTGAATGTTATTTTGTTACCAATACAATGCCCCCCCCCATTATTTTGCCAGCCTAAAAAGCTCTGTACAATCTACTCAGCAAACAGCTGAAGGAAATAAATCCATTTAGAGAGATTGGACAACTTAACACATGGCAAACGAAGGAAACCAATGTCAATAACAAAAACAGCCTTTTACACTTTCTTGCTTTTTATGCTCCCTTTTCCCAAGCATTATTCCATTATTCTGACCTAGTCTAAGTGAAATTTATAATAAATTCTACTCCATGATTCCAGGACAGATACAATTTGACAAAAAGAATGGTTTGAGTAAACTACTAGTGAAACATGGTACGCGTCAGACAGACTTGAACTTCCTAATCATACTAAGCCACCCTTTAACGAAAACTATACCTAATCTGTAAACCGCCCAGAAGTAATGAGATAGGAATATAGTCCATGTGCCACAGTAATGTCTATCAAGGACATAAAAAAACCCACAGGTAATATCAAAGGAATTCATAAACGCAGATCTGCAGGGCCACTTAATCCACAACTTGATTTTCGCCACCTTATTATACTCTTGACATAGTGTACCCATGTGTAGTATAGACCAGGAGCCACATAGCAGGCTACCCAATCATGTCTTTCATAAATCAGAGCTGTAACACACTACATCAGAAGAAAATTTGGGACTTTAGCCATGGGCAAATTGTTTTGAAAAAAAAGCCCACCATAAAGGGGTAGCAAATCTCATTGCATATTTAGCTTTCCATGCACTTTTCTGTTTTTGGTTCTTTAAAATATACTTCATCAGAAATGCTTAAGCGTCACACTGAGCTTTTAACAACAGTACAAAATATGACCTTTCAATTATAGACCACAGAAGAGTGCCACATTTTGCATATATTTAAATAAATACATTTTCTTTACAATGTTCTTGTCACAGCACCAGTTTGGAGAAAGATCCAAAAGAACAGAGTCACTGAATGTGACTCCTCACCAGCAATGAGGAGAGAACACTTAAAGTACACATGTCCAGTGAACAACTATGACCAATCTATTGCCTGGGCAACACGATTGAGCAATATAAGGATTGTAGCAAGGCTAAGACCAACAATCAGAAGAATAGAAAAGTCGAAAGAATTTCCTTGACGGGCTCCATTTTCGTTTCCAAGATTCTGGCGGGATCCTCCCGCAAAGACCTGGTTGCCCAGACCATTAGGGCGGGGCCTCTGTCTCGGGGGCGTGTCCCCTGACTCAGCTTCAATTCTCTGCCCGTCTACACCAGCTGCTCCCGCTTCCTGCTGAAAGTCTTCAGCAACCTCAGTGGGAATGCGAGCAGTGGCTGACTGCCGTTGACGTAATCCTTTGCCACCAAGGCCTCTCTTACTCTCCAGCTCTGGCATGGAGTTGCTTGTGCTGCGCTCTAGGCCTGACCGCTGGTCTATGTCCAGTGTCTCCAGGGGCGGGGCTCCAGCCTCGCTGTTCTCCTCCGCGTCTGTCGGCAGATCCGGGTGAGACAGGTCAGCACAAGTCAGCTCCCCCAGCGACTCTTTCTTTTTCACCAACGGAGACACCTCGCTGTTGGTATGGCCATGGGAGACAGCACTCTTTTTCTCCCCGGTCTCCTCTGTGAGGGAGCAGTCTCCCACAATTTCCTCCACCACTGGCTTCACAGCCACCTCTTCAGTCACAGACAAACCCGCTGCCTTCTCCTCTGCATTTTGCTGTGGCTGCGACAAATCAGCCGAACCTACACGTTTCACTTTGCTGAGAAGTTCTGCCATCACTTCATCCTTGGCAGGGCTTTCTGTTTTTCCAACATCACTTTCCGAGACAGGAGATTCCGCAGCTGCTCCCAAGTTTCTAGAAGGAGAAGCGTGCAGGGAAGAAACCATGGGCGAGCGCGTGTACCTAGGCTGGCTTGTAGAAGAAGACGTAGAGACACCTTGACCTCTTAAGTCAGCAGGACCTGCATTTGCAGGCTCTGAGGCAGCTGTGTTCACTGGATGAGGGGGTGATGTATTCTGGTGTGAAGGGAGCCTCATCCCGAGAGGAGCTGGGAAGGGATAAGGGAACATATTCAAACCACCAGGCATCGGAAAGCCTGAAGGGTAAAAGGGACTCGTGTAACCACTTGGGTAGTGGCTAGGTGGGTACGGGAAACGTGGCATCATGGCTGCTACACCCGAAGGTTGAGACATGGCAGAGGGGTTCCAAACTTGAGAACCAGGCATGGCCTGGGCAGGTGTGCCGGTGCCCCAAGGAGAGAGACGAGGGAACGGCAGGGGGAAAGGAGTTGTTTGTGCAGCTGGCGTGGCTGTGACTGGATTGTTGCCTCCAGCTGTGCCAACATTACTGGGAGATGTCTGTACTGGGGCTTCCAAGTTTGATGATTTGGCTGCAGAAGATGCTACAGGATTCCCTGCACTAGACTTCTTTGACTTCTCTCCCTAAGAGTAAACAAAGTTAAAATATTATACAAAAGGACTGTACGGCAAGAAAAGAATGTTACACTGCTTTCAAATGTTTTTAAATATTTGTATCTTCTGACTTAACAACAATGCACTCGAGAACAAGTTATTGTTGACACATTAGAGGGCTAGGCTAACTAATTTCTCTTGACATAGGCTACTAACATATTCAAACTGGAGCAATTCGTTCAAAATCCATTCTTAGGAACTTAAATTATTTCAAATCTTACCTTAGAGTAAGTCATGTTCTGGTGATATTGTCATTGATAGCACAGATAAAGACCAAGGAATAAAAATTTGGGAGTATTTCATTTCTATGAAATTCAATCTACTGCTGAACTCTTGTAAAAGGGAAGAAAAAAAACCACCCTGATCACGCTAAATAAGCTTGTCATAATGTAAGGGTGACAGGCAAGAATGCAGAGTTCTCCATTAAAATATGTGAGGCAGCGTGGTAGAATCAGGCTCTCGTCAATTTTTGGGCGCGTAGAGTTATTGGTATCATCTTAACTCATTCGCTACGCCGAGCCGTGGGGGGCAGCGCGGCTAAAATGCTGTCAGTACGCTAAACCGCCCCCGGCGGCTCGAGAACCGACGTTCAATTTTAGCTTGGTGTCTATTCCAATCCACATATCCAAGTTAAAATGAAGGTCATAATATAATGTTGACTTCCGGTTCAAGCGTATCCACCGAAAATCAGAAGTTTTGATTCAGTTTTGAAACACGATTTCGTAGTTTATTCGACTTTGTTTTATCGCGAAGCCCAAATTATAGCCCAGACACCAGCCTTAGTACTTTTACACAACAAAATGTATCATTATTTTGCTCACTAAAGAAATGTAGCACTTTTCTTTATAATATTGATACTATTGGACGCAAATTGCTGGTGCACTGTAATTGAGAAATCAATATTTTTTAGTGCTAGATCTAGGCCTAGATCTAAATAGTCAAAATATTTTTTTCTCCCCAAAATCACTACTTTTGGGTGAAATTACTCAAAAAGTACCACTCAAGATATGTATAGGTTTATTCCAAATGCAATTCTGAATAATTCAATATAAGATACGCATATTTTGTTCTGTTTGCGATTCTTTTTTCAAAATTTTTTTTTTTTTTAAATTTTTTTCAATATCGGATGTCATGATCCAAATGTACAAATATTATGGAATATATGTAAATAACTGCACATTTTTCAATATTTTCCTGTTCTATATACAGTTATGGTTATTTTGATGCATCATTTGACTAGGTTAGACCTGCATGTTTGCCGACAATCGTCTGAAATCCGACAATCGCGACCCGACCCGCGAACCGGCCGATGCTATGGCAAGGCCCGCCTGTATATCTGTCAATGTGCGTAGTGCGAGGCTTGGCCGACTGCCAGCGACCCATTTTTCTCCCGTCGGCTTCATCGGTCGGCACTTTCGTTTTCGTGCCGACCGCCGACGCGCGCACTGCCGACGTCGGCGTTTCCGACATAATTGTCGGAACCTGAGTAGAAATGCGAATACGAAAAAGGACGACAACCTAAATTATCTACTTTCAGTTTCGTGCTCGAGCGGCCATTTTGAATTTCGTTTGTTGACTAATTCAATTGTTCATATCGTGTGGATTCATTCAAGTCTGACTCTCTAGTTCTAATAGAATCTAGATCTAGATTTATATAGATCATTATAGACCTCAATGGAGGATTCATATTCCAATTCTATTTTGTCAAACCCTATCATAGGTTGTGCTGTAATTGTAATATTAATATTGGTGAAAATAAGCATTACATCAGGTGCGTGAATTATTTATTTATTTAGATCTAGACTCTGTTCGGAATCGGATGCGGATTTCTAGTTAAAGACCTATTCCTATTCACTTGTTCTACAAGATCTGGATCTAGATCTAGATTTATTTAGATTACTAGATCTATATGGAGGATTCATATATATATATATATTCCAATTCTATTGTGTTATTGTATCAAACTCAAACCCTATAGTATAGCAATGTAGATGTAAGCCATAGATAGAATCTAGATCTAGATTTATATGCTCCTTGTTTGTTTTGGAGTGTGTTTTTTTAATTTTTTTTTTTTTTTCATTTAGGACTTGTTTTGGCCTTTTTACCCGAGTCCCGTTGCAGGTTCTTTTTGGGGGTAGGGTTAGGGTTAGGTCTCTTCTTTATTGTGTTTGTTGGGGTGGTCGCTCGTTACTTGGATGTCCTTCCTTATGACACCCACAAAGGCTGGGGGGGGGGGGGGGGGGTTGCGCAAAATTTTCAGACAATCTGGTTGAGGCTTACATGCAGGTCTACTAGGTTCAAACATATTTTTTGAGTTTCACCTGAGATTATAAATTTTTTATTTTCCAATTTTATCCGCATCCAATCACAATTGTGTTGCATAATCGCCTCTTACAGGAACCAAAGTTGAAAAATACACAAATAAATAATACAGATGTATTCTACAAACCATACTAAAAATGTTGGTATATAATATGTTGATATTTATTTGAATTTATGGCCCCAAAGACCTGTGAACTGCGCACTAGTCATCATCTCATTTCGCCCTCCCGAAAAAAATTCGTCCACAAGCCGAAAATAATACGTAGCGAATGAGTTAAAGCTTGTTCACTTGTCTTTATTTGGATGAAAAAATATCCATTTATCTTGAATACAAGTCGAGATATTTTTGAATGAAGGAGGTGGGGGTCACCTGTTTTCAGAGGCAAAATTAGTGAGAAAATGGCCGCCAAAGATTAGTTATTTCCTTAGCTTAAGAGTCCGGGGTAACAGAAAATTTACATTTTTTGTGCCTTTAATCAAAGTTTTTCAGAAAAATCCACACAGAAATGAGTTCTTTAATGGACATGAAAGGTGTTGAGCCAAAAAAGAAAATTTCGATACAAATTCACAAACCTGCAGAAAAATGCAAGTTTCTTCACTTTGATTATTTTGACGAGAGCCTGATTCAACCACGCTGCCTCACATATAATTATTATTTTATGAAAAATTGATTTTAAAATTGCAGACAATAAGATTCCCAAATCAAGACAGAGGTAGATGATCTACAGAGGTGATCCATAATTGATTTTTGTTTTGTCACCAGTTTTGTATACTATATATACCAACGATCATAGAAGTATATATAAAACAACACGCTTATTTAAGTTTGCAGATGACTCCACTATTATTGGATTAATAAACCTTGATGAAAAAGAGTATTTCGAAGAAATATGTAGGTTTTTAAAATGGTGCCACTCAAATTTTCTAAAAGTGAACCTCTCAAAAACAAAGGAAATGATTTTTGATTTTAGAAGAGAAAAACCAACAATCCCACCACTCGTAATTGAACAAGAAACTATTGAAATCACGGATTCATACAAATATCTTGGCCTTACAATGGACAACAAATTTACATGGCAAAACCACGTAAACAATATCGTTAAAAAGGTAAATCAGAGGCTGCACTTTCTGAGGAAACTAAAGTTTTTAAAGCTGAATCCATCCATCCTTCAGATTTTCTACACCACAATAGAAACTTTGATAAATTTTGGTATCACTTGCTATGGTAGCAATCTGGGAAGGCAGCACATTATAAAAATAAACAAGTTGATAAGAAAGGCATCTAGAACAATTGGTAGAGACCTTAGTAACTTTGAATATCTGCACAAGACAAACGTTCTAAAAAAGGCGGAAATAATGCTTAGTGACCATAGCCACCCACTGACATCGGAATTTCAACTATCGACCCCCAGTAAACGATACATTTCCAAAAGAGCAAGAACAGACAGATATGGAAATTCATTTGTATTCGTACCAACTGCAGTGAGGTTACTGAACACACAGTGCTACAAATGAGAGAGAGAGAGAGAGAGAGAGAGAGTGGGAGGGAGGGGGAGAGAGAGAGAGAGAGAGAGAGAGAGAGAGAGAGAGAGAGAATGTTTTACAGAGCGGGTTGTCCCAGCCTGTGAGACATGTATTTACTTGGCCTAATGTCCTGTCTTGTGCGTTTGCGTGAGTGCACCTTTAAGTCTAACTTTTGTAACGTCTACTGCCATTGTTAACGACCAAGACAAATTTCTCCCTGCGAGATGAATAAAGATTGTCATTGTCATAATGGCAGGAGACAAAGGAGAAGGAATATAAAAATTCTTTAAAAAAAGAAAAGGAGATTGTGAGGACGAGCAAACCTTTGTTTTAATTGCATATTTCCCAAGATATTTGGGTCTTTATTTTCAGAGGGTTTTTTTAACAAGAAAAAGTGCAGATCCCAGAGCTTCAAAGATTGACCAAAAAAAAAAAAAAGATTACAAGATCAGAAATTAGTAGAGGACCCAAAGCCTATCTTTGATGGACAAAACTTTTCCTAGGACAATCCTTTTAACAAAACTTTTTTTCAAAAAGTGCAAACATAAAACCTGTCATGACATACACCCGTCAACTAAACAGTGCTCAGCAGCCCATTTGCTTCAATAATTACCTGAAAATTAATCTGAGCGGCCAACTCTTTTGCCTCCTGAGATGTACTTTTTGACTCAGTGCTGGGCTCCAACAGGTTGTTCTGAACATCACCACAGCTCGGACACTTCCAGTCCCGGCTCCTGCAGATTTACAACAGTCGTGTTACATAAAAGACAGGTTTACTTCAACTGCCCACACATCTGGACATTTGTGTGATGTAGTAGCAGATACAGGTCATTTGATAAGTGGTCTCTTTCACTCCCTTTCTCTCGTATGAGTGCAAACACAAACTCAAATAACCACAGGCAGACAAGAAAACATTATTGTCCAGACACAAACATATTTTTTATCATCTTACAGATGCAAATCACTTGTAAACACAACAAGTCTGTCTCACAAAGTCACAAATTCATCCTCATATATCTTCGTTGTTATTCAACATTGTAGTATGTCAAAATTTCCAAAAAATGAAAACGTAGAATTTGAAGAGGCACAATGATTGGTTCTAGTCTCATTTCATTCTTCTTCTTAAAATAGTAACATGATATGTCACCATGGAGACACATCTTTTCTTTCTTTTGCATCCTTTCCTTTCAGACGTTAATAACAAAATGACAGTACTTCCAAAAGCTGTCTCACTGACAACCATTCAAAATCACAATATGCACACACCCAACACTTATTTCTCATAATTTTCTCCACAGTAACTAACTATAAAAATTTACCCTTTAATTTGGAATCGATGAAAAATTGGAAAGGTAGGCATACTGTCGTTTACATTAAAGGAGGGTTTTTTAGTCAAGTGGTTAAGACATAAGACTAGCAATGATAATAACCACGAGTTTGAATCCCATCTTGGAAACACATCAACCCTTTGGAGAAGTAACTTTTTCCTTAATAATAATATCCTCAGTTCATCCAGCCACAATTTTGTACTTTGCTTTAAGTATAGACTAAAATGCGCAACCGGACGAGTATCAACATCACTTACTGCCCTCAATTAACTCTGCTGAAAATTAGCACTTGGTGATAAGCCATATAAAAAAAAGCATGGAAATGATAACGCGTGAGCTCCAAACATTTTCAACCTTTCATGGGACAGATGTGGGAAAAACTTAAATGAACAGGCAGGCGATGGGAACAATTATGAAGTACAGTCGAACCTGTGTAACACGGAATCACAAGGGAGCCAGAAAAAAATTGCATCTTAGACAGGGGAATTAGGGTGTAGAAGGAGGGGGGTTTCAAAGGCCCAGCCGGTGGGATCAAGGGTTGCTTGTCTGATCGGCAAGCAGTCACAAGTGGCCAAAACTTCACACGTCTCAGCTGCTATCCTCTCTGATAATGACATGCGTCAGTCTTATTTATCCAATTACCACAGTGCTGGAATTTCATAGGACCACTGTTTCGTCTATTAAAAACAGAAGCACTTGAACATCTCCTTTGCTTCCACTCTTAGCCCAACCCATCGGTGTAATAAGCAGTCAACCAATGCCACCCCTGACAGCCATGTAACAACGATTCGAAGTTCAGAACTCTTTTCTTGGCTGGCTGTATGATCAGGGCGGCAGGCATTGGTCAAACTAATTTCATACCTCTGGGTTCTGGCTACCAATGAAAGTTCCCGAGCTGGAGCGCCACTTGAGCACTTTCACTGGCACTCGTGAGATTTCACACCCACACCACCCTGACCATCTTCATTGCTCAGGGCTCACATCGATGAGGTAACATCTTTGAGCGTCTAGGGTAACTTCTACCCTCAAATTACACCCCTACTCCCTTTCCTCGCCCGGAAGCATGGCTTTAAGTATAGAGCTGGCGGAACCAAACTTGCGAGTTTTGTTTCAAATCAGGGCTGAGCATTTTCCATCTTAGACAGGCAAAACCCTCGGAAGGGAGCAGATTTTTCTTTCCGTTTCCGCGTTGGACAGGTTTCTGTTTTATACAGAGAGCGCTGACTTCTTTCCCCTTATATTTTCCCTCTGTGCTGAATATATTTTGGAAAAACACCAGATTTGCACATACGCTTTTTTTTTTGCCAATAATTTTTTAATTTGTTCAAATTTCTAATGAAGGTAAGAATAAAAGTTTTAGAATATTGAAAGTTTTTTTATGAATATGTGAAGCAAAAAGTATTTTGTGAAGTTATTGTTGTAGTAGTAGTGTTGGAAATGACTGAATGAAAACTGCCGGTTCATTAGATCTCTAGATCTAGACCAGAGTCTAGATTCTTTGTGGGCCAACGTTATATTCCACAAAGTGTTAGCTCTAGCATCAAAACCCTCGAAATCATCTTCTGATTCAAGGAAAATACGCGGAACATCTTCATCTGAATCTGATGGGACATTATTTTCATGTTTGTCGCGGGTCGCAATCGCGAATTTTCCAACTTCACTGTCACTCGACTTCAAAGTGAAACAAAAAACTCCTCGCGACTCGATCGAAACCCGTGACAAGAAAAATGGCGGGCGAAATCAATTCTGCGTAGCCTACTAGCCAGCGGTATAAAAATTAGTACTTCGTTCTTTTCGTATATCGCGTTATACTATGCCAATGTCTATCGCGACGCACTTTACGGAAGTTCGGGGCGTCGCGACCGGTGATCGCGATCAGCACTCTAAGGGTGAAGGAGGCGAGCGGGGAGATTCTGTTAAGACAGGTTTCTGTTTTACACAGGTTTCCGTTAAGGCAGGTTCGACTCTACTGCATTACCTTAATGAATAGGAAGTCGGTACGATACAGGAAAGTTAGCACTTGTTTGAAAAAAAAAAAACAGACAGTAGTATCAGCTCAGCCTTTTGAAGCTATCTCCTTAGCATTTCCATCCAAAAGTATTCTCTAATTAAAGAAACATCCACGAGATTCAAAATTCAAAAATTGCAAATTCAAACCTAAAAAAAGAAAAGAATTAACAAATCTACTTTGAAAAGGAAATTTCAGAAGGGATAGGAGACAGAATTAACAAAAAGTGATTGCTGAGTATTCTCCCCCCCCCCCCTCAAAGTGAGACTGTACTTGCTTTTTTGCTAGAGTTTTACGCTCTTCAGGTGTATAGTCCAATGATCCAATAGCTCCACCAGGATGGGTGGGCATAAACCCAATGATGGCCAGCAGGGCAGTTCGAACTGAAAACAGAAACATAATTCTTCATTTCAATGTGCTCTACGGTAACATTTTTCACTCAATTATGGCATGACTCATCATCAGGGATAGGGAGAGGGAGAGGGAGAGGGGGGGGGGAGGGGAGAGAGAGAGAGAGAGAGAGAGACAGAGAGACAGAGAGACAGAGAGAGAGAGAGAGAGAGAGAGAGAGAGAGAGAGAGAGATGATTTACTGATTGATATATAAAGAGAGAGGGAAATTTTTTTTAAAGATTAATTGATAGGGATAGTTTAGTCATTTAAGGTAATGTTTTTTATTCCCATTTTGACTAGCCATGAAACAGAGTACAGTAGTCTCCGCCTAAGATCCTGGTGCTCGGGAGCAAGGAAATGCGGGATCTTAGGCGAACCGGGATCTTAACCGACAGACCCAGGGATGAATCTATGGTGACCCATGCTAAGGCTCACGATCTGTACAATGGTCTCCCTCCACTCTAAAACGAACTGACGTGACCGTTTGGTGGGTTTATGACGTATGGCGAGCAAAGAGTGGTTAACCTTGATGGCCTATCACAGTGCATAGTGGGATGAGGCGTGCCATTTTCACCTATTATTCTATCAAGCTTTTCTGAGAACATCCGAGCAAAGGAATGAATGGAAAATCATGATCGCTGATGTCTGTCGCAGATCTGGCACTGGATGATGATGATGATTCTATCATGAGTCTCAAGATCTATGCTTATCCAGTTGCCCTTCCCCCTTACCTGTCGAAAATTTATAGCTTTCCATCTCTGACTGAGCCCCCCCGCCTTTGTGGTTACACACCATTACGTTGTGTACACACCAATTAAAAATTCAGTCGGTCTCGCTAATTCGGGAGTAGACACAACCTCTGCAATTGTCAGGGAAGAGTTCACAGTTCAATGTGATCCCGCCTAGAGCGAACGTGTAGGCCCTACCCACCCAGCGAGTCATGTAAGTTTAGGTGGAGAGCTCAGGTGTGAGTGCCATGTTCGGGGAAAACAAACGTGTCGGTCAGTTCACACCCCGGTGTGATCCCGTCTGGGGCAAACTTTGTATCACTTCATCAAGTTTTACAACGTGTATGTGATCACATTCACGATAGTGGCTGATCTTGACGCGACGGACAGTTTATTGATCTCAACTTTTCACTCTTGGTTGATCCGCTGTCCCGCCCGGGTTTTTGTTCCACAAATTATGATATGAAATGCGGGATCTTAGCCGAATGTAGACCTTCAGAGTGAATCAGAGCGGGATCTTACGGGTGACTTTTGTATAGTAAAAATTCTGTTTTCTTAAAACAGCGGGATCTTAAGCGAACCGGGATCGTAAGCGGTGGGATCTTAGGCGGAGACTACTGTATATATTACAGTTTAAAAACCAAGAGGGGGGGAGGAGAGAGAGAAAAATTGTTGTCCTAATAACAGGGATGTTAGCCATCAGCTAACAGCAGTGATAACATTTCTATTTTCAATATTTTTTACTCACTTGACCACGACGGTTGCCATGATTCCGGGTGATGGCCAGAGATGCTTAGGCAGATTTTTTTGTTGGTCTCAAACCTTCCATTGGGCTGTGGAGAAAAATTAATGCCAGTAAGAAATGAAATGAGACAGGATCATGGTTTTTGAGCTCTGAAGCCTAAGTGATGAAAAAAAAAAGTCACTACATTTGAGTAAAATCAAGGTGAAGTCAGGCACTCCTCAAGATAAAGAAAATACAGACACCGACATTTTTTCCTCCCATTGGACCATTTCTGTTTAGTTATATGCAGTTACGGTCAAACGATAAACTAACTTTGTGATTTTCTAGACTCTTTCCCACAGCAAGGAGGACGAAATAGTCTTCCAATAAAAAAATATAAAAAAACAATTGGAAGGCTCAGCTTGCACTTTTAAGACAGCTTGACAGTTTAAAGTCAATAAGAAAAGGATTGTTAACTCCAGCAGCTCTGGAATTCCTTCTTCTTCTTCCTCATTCTCGATGACAGTAGCTAGACAGTCAGTCCGATGTTGCGCACAAATTGTGCAGTTTGCTTCAAATCTGAGGGTCTGGCAAAATTTTAAATAAAAATCCCTACCCGAAAGTGGAGAAACTCAGGGGTGTAATTGAATATGGAGTACCTTTACAAATGAAATACGTAGGAGGACTATGTCAGAACAAAAACAGTTGACATATATCGGTATCAGTTACACAGTGGATTGAATAACCTACAGAGGGGGGCCACCCCTCACATTTAGAGGGAGGACACAAAAGAAAAAAAGGTTTGTAACATTGATGGCAACGCAAGGATCACAGAAGTATTCAATGATGGGCGAAACAAACTTTGAATTAGACTGCCATTTTTCCTGGTACCACAATCTGAGGCCAGTAAGTAACAGTTATTCGGGACCAATTTCTAGGAGTACCTATGTTCTTGGAGTGTATTTATGCAGCCTTGATCTTGAATAATATCAAACTAAATATGGCGATCCTTCTACAGCTTCATAAATAAAAATGTAACCCATTCCCGCATAAATCCACTATTAAGTGAACTCTTTTGAGCCCCTAGATCAACCAATCTCATGCGATAGTTACAGAGGTAGGCATTTTCCCATGACTAATCATAAGGAAAGTATTGTCCAGCTAACATTATTGGTGTACTTTCAATTTCACAAGATCTTACCATGTCTGCAGATATTGTTTGATTCACTTTTAGTCTACAGGGAAGAAAGTTAAGATCTGAATCTGCCACTTTTTCCATCAATTTCTTTAACATTAACACCTCCCCCCTCAAGTCGAGCTTGAATCTAGATACTGTGGAATCCGCTGAAACTGAACATGGTTAATCCAAAAACAGCTGTAAACGGAAAGAAAATAAAATCCACAATTTTCAATTCTTCTATTTGAGCAATCTCTTTAAACCAAAAACACAGCAAAACCAAAGACTATCTGGCTGTCCTGCAGATTTCGGTTTAAAAGGACTCTACTGTATTTACAGCCACTTGATTTTATGCTTTTTTATACTTTTCATTTCCAGACCTTAACCCTATCCATACGGCCTGGGGTCATTTTGTACCCCTGGGGTGGTATTCTTCACATTTTAAAATACTTCTAGTGTGAAGATCTCTTTCAAACTTTCAGTATTTCTCAATAAATCATTTTGATGACTGCTACGGAAAGTGTACGGATCTGATGAACGAGTAAATTTCCTCTTTGGAAAGTGGTGGCACAGAGTTCCCGTCGTATGGATACGATAGTAAAACATGACGTACGGATAGGGTTAAACATGCCACCTGGTAAATATTTAGCAAAGAATTAAATATTCAATTTTGTTTGGCATATATACAGCAAAGTACTCCCGCAGCAAAACACAATACGTACTGTGAGCCAGATTATACTTGGAGGTTTCATTGGGTAGTCTACAGGCAATATGATCCGCCCATGATAGATGCCACTCTGAAAGTCAGAATCAGCTGGCCCTCTCACGGTGAAATGCCATTCAAATAAGTTGTCCTGGGGGGAAAAAAAGAATTTCGATAATTACCCAAATATGTGGACAATGAACAATTCTCTCATACATACACCCCTGATTAAAAAATCTAGAGTCATGTTCAACTCTTTGTCAGTCCACACAGACAGATCGGTGAGAGGATACAACAGGTTGGTACTACCACCCTGAAGAAGTGAGAATAATTAATTATTTGTGAATACAGCCTTTTAAATTTAACGTATATTTCATACAGATAGATGTTTTATTAAGGAAAAAAAAATCCACTTCATGTACTATTTTAAGCCAAGGAGGCTTTTCTTGTACATTATGCATATACATGCAAGCTGGTTTTTATTGTTATTTCTAAAACGGCCCAATCTATTCTTTGACAATTTACTTGAAACAGGGCAAATATTGAGGAAAATGTCTTCATAAAAGGAAGAATCATGGACCCAGTATGGAGAACACATGCTGAACATTTGCAAAGAAGCACAAAGGGAGTTCTACCAAAGTGTCAAGAGCATGAGAATAATAGATGAAGAGTTCCAACCTACAAATGTCATAAACAACAAAGAAGACAAACAAATATTCTGTAAAGACAGAATTAAGGAAAGATGGGGAAAATACTTCAAGCCACACTAAATAGCCGAAACAACCTCAAACTTCAGACAGAAAGTTTTCGTAAGAGTTTTACAGCACTTGCAATACAATAAAGTCATATTTGTGCCGAAGAATAGATGTGTTAAAAGAGAGTAACATTCACAAAAAGGAGGAGAGATAAGGACGATAGAAGTTTGATAGGAAAGAAGGAGCACCCGCAATCACCCACTCACACAGAAAGACAATGAAACCGCAAAGCTAAAGCTACCCATACTAACAACAAGTGAAGTGGAAACATCAGTAAAGATTTTAATAAGAGCCCGAAAAACAAATCACTGGATATTGATGGAATAAGCACATAGGCCATACAGGCCTATGGAGACACCAGCATCACATGGCTAACAAAAAATTAGAATCTAGCAAGGAAAGAACACTGAATTCCAGGAGACTGGCAAAGAAAGTGCCTCAATCGTACCACAATGGAAGCTAAGAGGAAACAAGAAAGGCTTCAAAACTTTCAGGGAATATCTCTACTCAGCTGAAATACAACTCAATAGAGAACAGTCTGAATTAATAAAAAGGGGAAAGTTTCACAGACGTGATATTCGCACTTCTCAGCGAAAAGGCAAAGGAAAAAAGATCAAGAACTAAATACTGCCTTTGTGGACTGAGAAAAGGCCTTCAACAGAGTAGATTGAGACAAATTGTAGACAGTGCTGGAGGAATACTGAATCAGTGGACAATTACTGGACAACATTATGGCATATTAAGAAAACAACAGTATGGAAAACATCACATGGAAAACACTATGATTCCAAGTAAGATCAGGAGTAAGACAAGGATGTGAGCTAAATGAACAAAAAAAAAAACCCAGCAAAAGCTAAACCAGAGACACAATCAATGAGTTGAAAGAGCTTCTTTTTACAGATGATCAGAGCATATTGAGTGACAACAAGAAGATCCTCCAACAGCAAGTAAACAAACTGAACAAAAGCTACAAAGATCAGAACATAAAAAGGAGCAGGAGAAAAACCAAAGTGATGAAAATCAGTAAAGCACCAGGTTCACTAAACATCACAGTCAGACAAAAAGCAAAGTCAAGCTAGTAGAAGAAAAAAGCCAAAGCCCTGACTTACCAACTGGCACCATTCCTCACGTTCTACTATCACAATGGAAACAAAGAACTCATTGACAGCTTGTTACCTACCTCCAAAGGTTGCGCAAAATACTGGTCTGTGGGTTCACTTAGTTCCTGAGCCTCTCGCATCAGCCTTTTCACAGCTGAAATAAACAAATATTCATTAATAGCTGATCAATCTATATTGTGGACTTCTTTTTATGCTAAATGAGATCCTGGAAATAGTCAATTTCTCCTCTGATCTCAGCTAAACCCACTAAAAATAAAAGACAATGCCATCTTTTAAGTCTGTTGGTACTCCAGTCCTGAGCATGTTTTCAGTGGGTTTTGATAAGTACTAATGACTTTCTTAGAGTAGTTAAATCAGCAGAATTGAAGAAAAGACACTTATAAAATGACTGTTACTCTTACTGATGATGATGACACTCTCTTCCGGAAGCTTTTTTGAAAGCGAATGCAGGTTCAAGATCACATTCTCTCTTCATTCAGACTGTGACAAAAATTGTGCAGACCACACTCACCATTGAGAACATTCTATAAATATAATACACTGATTTCACTTGGACTTAAGACTTGGTCAGTTGAAAATGAAAGACTAGAAATTCCAACAAGTGCAGGATCAAAATGATGCCATTGGAATTAAAACAAGCCAGTACGTGTTCTTATTTCAATTTGTTTCTGCAGAAGAATATTTATTTTAAAAATATAAATAAACTTCCATTAAACCATGAGACAGGGTGTTACATAATTTTGACAGAACAATGCACCCTCCCTTCTAGCACTCCTATTTTGATAACATAGAAGTCCCCTGGTTCAGCCCAAGCTATTTCACTTTAAGACCTGTCGCGTGAGGTTTCCAACCACATCCTCACTTAGGTGACCCACATAAACTAGGGACTGAGCTTCAAGGCTATACATCACAGAACAAGGGGAATCAGAGTTTTAAAAATATATAAAATAATTTTTAAAGTGCCTGTACCCCGATATACGTGACAGGCTTGATGTGTGAAGAAATTATATTGAGGGACACAACCAAGAACATGACAACCAAGCCCAAAGGCAGAAGACATGAGAATGCAATTTCTCGAAGGCGGTAACGGCAGAAGATGAAGAATGCATTGCTCACCCTGCTACTTTTATTAAGTGCTTTGCTGCCTGCAACAACTTTGGTTTAACAATCAGTTCTGAAAAAAAACTGAAGCCTTACACTAGCCAGCCCCGGGAAAGACATTACCATCAGCGGACAGCAACTGAACATAGTAACAAAGGTGGTGCAACCCGTCCTGAAATGTTGACATCAATGATGAGGCGACTGCCCAGCTCACCAAAGCTAGCGCTGCCTTCCCCAGATTCCAAAAGTATGTGCATGGAACAGGAGAGGCATCATCCTAGCCATCAAGTTCAAACTATGTCAGGTCATAGTACTAACCATTATCCCTCTATATGGCTGCAAAATATGGGAAGATTTACCAGCATCATTTCAGGAAAACTAAGAGGGCAGGCGGGTTTTTTTAACCAGTTATGGGCTCAGATATTAATTTTTGGAAGCATACATATTTTGTGGGTAAAATTACACTTCTTCTGATTTCTCATGATTTTAAACTTAAATATAACGTCCTTAGTTTAGTATCAAAACTGCCATAAAAAAATTAAACATCCTTTGTCCCTGGTAACGAGCCAAAATAGAATAGAAATGTTCACCCCAATCAGGTCAGTGCTACTGACTGAAGTTGTCTTTTTTAGGCCATTCCCAAAGAGGGGACATATTAACATTTTCTTATGCACAGTAGAATTGTAAATGGGCTGATTTATCAATGTCACGCTCATATCGGCCAGAACAACATAGGGGGAACTGCTGCTTTCTCTTTCCTCATCCTTACTATCGTCATTTTTTTCCTCTACTTCTTTTGTATGTTCGTCACTCTCTTGTGAACTGCTATTTCCGGGGTGCATTGATAGTCGAAGCAGACTGTGCTGTTGAGGCTAGAGAGGTGAGCAGAGTAAGCCTGATTCCCTGTTTGGACTTCTCTGTTGGCATCCACCCCTTGGCGCTCACATGACCCTATGCAGTTACGAGCGCCGTAAAACCTCTACTAAAACAAAACTAAAACAAACTGCCCTGATCTCCCCCACCCAGGCGTTCAGTCCGGAAGGCCCAGCAGGACACAGCCAGGCCGTGATGTTACCACTGACTAGAAGCTCTGCGAGAACTCGGACACAGCGCTCTTCCCGCAACTTCTGGAAACTGTCAGCTCTCACCACCGGGCCTCTACTGTTGCCGTTGGAAACCGTCAGGTGGAAGCTGATGTCTCACAGACTCCTCCTCCTCCCACTTTTTTAAGTTTAAGTATTATTGATGAAAGGAGTGATTGGTAAGATCCTATATTTTTTAAATAATTAGTTCTGTTCAAAATGTATGATACTGCAATTTTGCTAAAAGCTAGACACTTACTTTCAAACAAAGCCTTACTAACTCTTTACCAGACATTGTTTTTGCCTTATTTAAACTATCTATTCAGCTATGGAACAGTTTGCATGAAGATTTAATTTACATTAATAATTTATAATAAGCTTTCGGCTAATCCTCCAGAACTCTACTACTACTAGCATAACAATTTACAAGAGATATATAACCAAAGTCATTTCGTTACACATAATTCGGGTGTGACGAGATGACCGTGTGACAAAATGACTGATTACCACACTAACAGTACACGCTGAGTGACCCCAGTGGCACCCCGGGAACGTTCGACGCAATAGGTTACTGATAAGATTTGCATTTCAGCCCAGAGATGCAGGACAAGAGTTATCATAGACAGTCTCAAGGAATCCCTGAAAGTCTTGTCTTCAGATTCAATTAGATTTTTATGCAACATAGGAGCCGACTGCCCTCGACAGAGTTGGGTGCAATCAGTTGTTCCCAAGGCCAAGGGTGCAGAGAGATCTTAGAGACAGTGGAAGTGCAAATAGAAGTATTAGACTTAATTAGTATTTGTATCGTAAAGGTCAAGTGCTTCAGCTGATGAATAGCACAGGTTGGCCTGGAAGTGGAAGATCATTTTTATGTCAACACATCTCCAATTGCTGCCACCATCCCCTGTCTCAGACACTGAGTCACTGCCTTCCTTGGTGATCTTGTAGTTCCGTTAGTTAAAGTCCACGGTCCATTTCTTTACATCCAGGGAAGAAATCCAGAAGTCTTGATGACCAAATAGGCTACACAAAGAACAGGGATACAACCTTACCCAACTGCAAAACATCAAATTATGGTAAATTCAGGCATGCCCCCCTGAACCCCCCCCCCCCTTCCATATTTTTATTAGTTCAGCCCTGAAACCCCCCTACTCTTCACTTTAACGAACGAAACTACAAAATTGCCCCTTCCTGCACTGAGACAGAACTTCCCAGGCGAAGATTGGCTTGACCAGTCAACTGTGGTGAACACTCACCCCGACCCCAGGATTCAGGACGACAATATGAAAATATGATAATAAAGAAAGAGTAGATGACAATAACATAGCCTACTAGACATCCAGATCTAGATCTAGATCTAGATCTAGATCCAAAATCTAGTAGAATTAATAAAGTATCAGATCTATATTATAAAGTAAAACTAGAATCTACACTCTTCATCACTCTACTCTAAACTAAAATCTAGCTCGAACTCAAGATCAAGATCAGCTTTTAGTTTGCCTTTAGTTTCAGTTCCGAGTCTGATTATTAGGCGAACAACCATTTGATTACTAACCCGGACTTCTTGTATTATATCTGCCTTCCATTTCTTGAAAAAGAGAAATGGTTCCAACCAAAACTGCAGCAAATTTAAGTTTATTCTCGTCGAGCAAGTGGCATCTAGATCTAGAATAAAGATCTTAATCAAGGCATCATCACTTCGTTCCCAAATGTACGTGGCCTCACCAAAACATACAGACACCGAAACGGAAGTTTACATCTCAAACGATGATTGGCCAAGACAACAACACTTGCCCAGAGAGTTTTACAGAAATAGAATCTAGAAGAGAGCGGTCACTTTGGTCGGATGCGCGTATTTGGGTCACCAGCTGATCGTGGGGGAAAAGCGCGATAAACAAAACAAACTGCGCTCATTTTTCAAGGCATTTTCGTTGATCACTTTTTTCTTCTTCCTCGTTCTCGATGACAGCAGCTAGACGGTCAGTCCGATGTCGCTCACAAACTGTGCAGTCCGCTTCAAATCTAAGAGACTGCCATAGAGCTTTCTCTCAAGGGGAGTCACATTCTGCCACGCCTGTGTACAAAGGGTGGCGTAGAGCGGACAGTGCTGAAGGATATGGTTAGCATCCTGTTGGTTGTGTCCACATTCACAGATCGCTGACTCTCACACTTTTAATTTACTGGTTAATCACTGACAAACAAGGCTCCATTTAGCACGAGGTGTCAATGGTGTTTTGAAATTTTTGTTTTGTTTTTGTAAAGTGTTTTACGGCGCTCGCAACTGCATAAGATCATATGAGCGCGCGGGACACACCTAATATTTTCGGTTGGTAGGAAATTTTGAATTTTGCCCGGGTG